TTCTATATTGGGGCCCCTTTTGTTTAATGTCTTCATAAATGATGTTTTTTTTATTTTGTTAAACATAGTACCTTATACAATTATGCTGACGACAATACTCTGTCTTTTAGCAGTCCTGATTATGACCATCTCATATCTATATTACAATTTGATTCTCAAGTGCTGATTGATTAGTTCAGAGAAAATAAGATGCAGGCAAATCCTGATAAATTTCAGGTTATTGCTGTAGGGAAAAAAACCTTTGGAAAAACATTCCTAACCAAATTCAGAAAAAAATATTTTATCATGTGAAGAAACCGTCAAGTTACTTGGAATTGATATTGATTAACAACTAAAATTTGATGCACATAGAAAGGCATCAAAACAGCTGAATGTTCTCAAGATTAAATAAACTTACAATTGTCCATACTTTCATTTTGAGTAATTTAATTTTTGCCCTTTGGCTTGGCATCTTTGTACAGAGAAAAAATTATAAAAAACTAGAACAAATACAAGACAGATCATTAAGATTCGTCTATGACGACTATTTATCATCCTCTGAAAAAAGGAGGCGAAAGATACCAAAGAGACATTCAAACTCATAAGTCGAAAATAAACTGACAACGCCATGGCTAAAAAAGAAAAAGACTAACAGACAAACAATAGTACACAAAACATAACATAGAAAACTAAAGACTGAGCAACTCTTCTTGAGAACGCAAAGGTTCCAACCCTACAATTGCAAGTTAGACGCATCAGGACAATACCACTTGAGACTTACAATATTTTGAATAATTTTGCTCCTTCGTTTTCAATATTTGCTTCATGTTAAACACACAAAATATTCTTTTAGATACAGTAACATTTTGGAAATACCACAGGTAAGAACTACCTCGTATGGGGAAATATTTTAGTTTTGCTGCTGCTTCTCTATGGAATAGTTTACCGGACCACTGCTTCACACATTTTAGAAGTCTTGTTCAGTCCTGGAGTGGATCGGACTGTTTTTGCTCTGCCTGCAGGTAATTTTTGATACATTTTTTTATTAATTTTTATGCTGCATTAACTGCTTGCATGCAATTGATTTTTTTTTACTTTGTATTAAATACTAGAATTATAGTTTTACTTTAACTCATTTATTGAAAATGTTTAAGCTGCAAATTCAAAAAATTATTCCTTTCTTTTTTATGTATAAATAAGAAGATGTGGTATGTGTGCCAATGAGACAACTATCCATCCAAGTCTCAGTGTGTAAAAAGTAAACAATTATAGATCAAAGTACGGCCTTCAACACGGAACCTTGGCTCACACCGAACAGCAAGCTATAAAAGGCCCCAAAAAGACTAGTGTAAAACAATTCAAACAGGAAAACCAACGGTCTAATCTATATAAAAAACGAGAAACGAGAAACACTTATGAACCAAACCAACAAATGACAACCACTGAACAATAGGCTCCTGAAAAATGCAGCGGGTTTAAACGTTTTAACAAGCGCCAACCGTCACCCTAACCTGAAACAGTGGTATACCATTGCAACATTAAAAGACACAATAAAATATCAATTGAAATGGCTTAACTCGATCAAACGAAAAAAAGTAAATATACACTGAACGAATAAGTTTGATCTATGACACAATATAAATGAAAAAGATGTTGCAATGTCAAAAAGACAACTATAACCTAGGACAAAATGGCATTAAATAAAGTAACGTACACAGGTAAATTTGAATATAATAGTTTTGTTGTTAGGAGTACAGAAACATTTTTTACAAAATAAATTTGTTATTCATAGTACGAGTACAGAAGTGAACATTTTTTCGTTATACTAATCTTTGTGCTTCATATATATGCTTTTAGTGTTAGCAAGATACTATTTATTTGCATGCTGCATGTCGTGTTTTATTTGTTATTATTTATGTTTTTATATTCGGTGAAAAGATCATTAGAGCTTATGTTTAATTTGATTGTCAATATGCCGAATCCAAATAAAGTTTTACTTACTTACTTACTTACTTAAGACAACTCTCCATCCAAGTCACAATTTGTAAAAGTAAACCATTATAGGTCAAAGTACGGCCTTCAACACGAAGCCTTGGCTAACAACTAATAAAAAAATAATTTTTCTGAATCTATTTTAATTTGGCATGATTTTTTTCTATGCACCTTTTTTCAAGATGAATATGGGATGGATTGAGAGTTCAATAGACTAGTTTTTACCTTTCAACATGTAAATGTGCCTTCCTCGATAGACTGATTTACCTTACCAGATGTTTATGTGCCTGTCCAAGTAGCCTGGTTTACTTTGATACATGTTTATGTGCCTGTCCCAATATATAATGGTTTATCTTGCAAGATGTTTATGTTCCTGTTCCAATAGACTGGCTAGCCTGCCTGTCTCACTAGACTGGTTTACCCTGCCACATGTGTATGTGTCCATCTCAATAGAATGGTTTACCCTACCACATGTTTATGTGCCTGTCTCAATAGACTGATTTACCCTGCCACATGTTTATGTGCCTGTCTCAATAGACTGATTTACCCAGCCACATGTTTATGTGTCCATCTCAATAGACTGGTTTACCCTGACTGCCACATGTATATGTGCTTGTCTCAAGAGACTGGTTTACCTTACCACATGTTTATGTGCCTGTCCAAGTAGACTGGTTTACCCTGCTACATGTTTATATGCTTGTCCCAATATAATGATTTACCTTGCCAGATGTTTATGTGCCTGTCTCAATAGACTGGTTACCTTACCACATGTTTATATGCCTGTCCCAATAGACTGGTTTACCCTGCCACATGTGTATGTGTCCATCTCAATAGAATGGTTTACCCTACCACATGTTTATGTGCCTGTCTCAATAGACTGATTTACCCTGCTACATGTTTATGTGCCTGTCCCAATAGACTGGTTTACCATGCTACATGTTTATGTGCCTGTCCCAATATATAATAGTTTATCTTGCCAGATGTTTATGTGCCTGTCTCAATAGACTGGTTATCTCTGCCTGTCTCACTAAACTGATTTACCCTGCCACATGTTTATGTGTCCATCTCAATAGACTGGTTTACCCCGACTGCCACAGGTTTATGTGCCTGTCCCAATATACTTGTTTACCTTACCAAAAGACTGCCCCAAAAGACTGGTTTACCCGGCCTGTCTCACTAGACTGGTTTACCCTGCCACAAGTTTGTGTGTCCATCTAAATAGAATGGTTTACCTGCCACATGTTAATGTGCCTGTCTCAATAGACTGGTTAACCCTGCCACATGTTATGTGCCTGTCACAAAAGACTGGGTTACCTTGCCTGTCTCACTAGACAGGTTTACCCTGCCACATGTTTATTACTTTGCCTGTCTCATGTGACTAGTTACCTTGCCACATGTTTTTGTACCTGTCCCATTAGACTGGTTACCTTGCCACATGTTTATGCGCCTATCTCAATAGACTGGTTTACTCTGCCACATGTTTGAGTGCCTGTCCCAATAGACTGGTTTACCTTGCCTCAATATACTGGTTTACCCTACCACATGTGTATGTGCCTGTCCTAATAGATTGGTTTACCCTGCCTGTCTCACTATACTGGTTTACCCTGCCACATGTTTTTGTGCCTGTCTCAATAGACTGGTTACCTTGCCACATGTTTATGTGCAGTCTCAATAGACTGGTTTTCTCTGTCATATGTTTATGTGCCTGTCTAAAAACACTGGTTTACCCAGCCTCAATACATTGGTTTAAACCGGCCACCTGTTTATGGTGCCTGTCTCAATAGACTGGTTTACTCTGCCACATGTTTATGTGCCTGTCCAAATAGGCTGGTTTACCCGGCCTGTCTCACTAGACTGGTTTACCCTGTCACATGTTTATGTGCCTGTCTCAATAGACTGGTTACCTTGCCACATGTTTATGTGCCTGTCTCAATAGACTGGTTTACTCTGCCACGTTTATGTGCCTGTCCCAATAGGCTGGTTTACCCGACCTGTCTCACTAGACTTGTTTACCCTGTCACATGTTTATGTGCCTGTCTCAATAGACTGGTTACCCTGCCACATGTTTATGTGCCTGTCCCAATAGGCTGGTTTACCCGGCCTATCTCACTAGACTGGTTTACCCTGTCACGTTTATGTGCCGGTCTCAATAGACTGGTTACCTTGCCACATGTGTATGTGCCTGTCTCAATAGACTGGTTACCTTGCCATATGTTTTTGTGCCTGTCCCAATACACTGGTTTACCCTGCCACATGTTTATGTGTCCATCTCAATAGACTGATTACCTTACCACATGTTTTTGTGCCTGTTCCAATACACTAGTTTACCCTGCCACATGTTTATGTGTCTGTCTCAACAGGGTTAGGGTTAGGTTTAAATTTGTTCACACTTTTCTACATTCAAGGTGATAAAGAACATGACACATTGAATAGTTTGTAGATTCTTTATAAACATGTTAACCACTGGAGGCTTGTTTTGACTCACACACAAACATATATATTTCTTAAAAATATAACAAACCTGTCAACTTATTAGGTATTGAAAACATCTGTTTTATTACTGTTGCATAAATTTTTTGGTCTGAGCGTTCCAGATGGAAGGTTAATCCAGAAAAGGCTTCAGACTAACAAAAATTGTAAACGTTACTTTCATATTTATTGAGACATCAATGGCAACACTCCAATACAGAAGATGTTTACTCAAAAGGAACGAAAATAGAGACTAGCTAACAAATGAGGTCAATGCTCTATACTACCAACTCTGTGGGAACAAAGTTTCTCTGTGATGACCATACCATCTTGTGAACAATTCTGTGATGATAACACAAAGTGTTTCAAGTTTAAAGCTCACCCAGATATAACTTGATACTGAACATTTAGAGGCTGTATTTTGTAGTTCAGCACTATGGTTTGACAAACAAAAAATATATGAGTGACAGTTGGGCAGGAGGAGATAAAACAGTACTTCCCTCCTTTTTCATAGCAGCTACAAGAATAGTAATTCTATACTGGCAGAAATAAACAAGATATTATTTACATGTTATTTTAATGGAAAGAAAATGGCATTAAAATACACGATACATATGTTTGTATATAAATAAAATAAGAAAATTGCAAAAAGAAAAGCATAAACATATATTCTTTAAATAAAAAGCTGTTTGATATTTTGGTGTCTATTTCGATAACTTAGATGTAAGATCTATACATATTTTCTTACTTCTGATTGACAGAATGGTCACATAGTTTGTAAAAGTCTCTAAAATGGACTGAAAACTTATCCTTCTCAAAAAATGAACAAAGACTTATTTACTTTTTGTTTTTTTCAACTATTATCCCTGATGAGCACTTGGTGACAGTTATTACATATATTAAACAAAGGAATATGGGATGAAGGTACAGACAAATTTCTGCATTAAATAAAATATTTGTGACTTTTCTTCTCAATTTATCATTCTTTTCCTCTTTAAACTGGTGGTCAGCTCAGACAGTTATATATTAAATCTTAATAATTCATTTAAAACATGCTTTTAACATAGTACACAACAATTAAGACACTGTTTACTTTTATACCATTTTATGATATAAATAACAAACTAAAAAATCATAAACAAACTAAATATAACAAAATTGTATGAAAAGGCTGAAGGAAAAAATATCATCTTACAATCTTCTGTCCATGAATAAGGATTCAATCTAAATCTTAAGATACTTGCAAAAGTTAATGTTTTCTTTTGTAAATTAATGAGATTTCATGTAAATTCTGCATTTCTTCCTAAAAGTTTAGCATATGCTTTTATTTTTTCATGAAAACTAGTTTTTTGTTTCTAATTAGTCATATATGGAAATGATAGATATAAAAACATTGTGAAAAAAAACATTTTATTGGTTGATTTTCACAGGACATAAGGGGCTTTATCTTGGTTTTCTTTACCACATAAAGACCATCATCATTCATGGACAGAGAGGACACAATCATTCATAAAAACACATAAACATTGCTGTAAAAATGTTATATTGCAAAATGGAAACTTGGAATGGTTCTATGATATCATGTATTACCCGATATTTGCTCCAATTTTGGAATACAATGTATCTGAATGAAATCGATCAGTAAAAACAATCCATATAAGGGAAATAAATTAAACAAACAAATATCAAAACTGATGAGACAATCTTTTTAAAACTACAGCACAAAAATCTTTCTTTATCTTCATCTTGATTTCTATAAGAAGAAGGCTAAAAGACGAAAAGATAAAGAGTTCATGGAATCTTTTGTTAAAATTCATGAGGTTCAAAGGTCAACTCTATTATGCTAAATTCTTTTTTATATGTATCAAGTGTGATAAAAGAGACAGATTTTGATTTTTATTTCAACACATAGGTCATTAGTTTTGTGATATTGCAAACTTCCATGTAAGTGTTGACTAACAACCACTGTTGCGGCTCATCAGTATGATAGGGAACTTGAGAAACATTGAACCATAACATTTTTTATAGCCAATATATATATATTTGACTGTCCAAAATGTACAAAATACTGCAGAGATAAATGCTGTCATTTTCACAAATTTGTTTATGTTTTAAAAACGGAGTATGCATTCATTATTACACAAGGAGTATGTGTTCGTTAATACACAAAGAGTATGTTAAGAAGGAATTGCACTATAAAATTACTTCAACAAAAAGTTTTCTAATTTTGATCAAACAGGAAATACTTCTCATTCCTGTATCAAATCTATGATTAAGCCAAAACATATAAAAAGAAACATTTAGATTTGAAAAGATTCATTATAACTTATAATTGATGAACAAATATAAATATACAGGCTGCCACTATATCAAGCTATAGTTTAAGCTTATTACATCGTTATTAAAAATACATACTTATAATTGGTTCTACAATTCCCTGTCTAACAGAGACTCTCTAAAACTACAGATTCCTGACATTATATGGCATGTACTGTGTTCTAATAAGTAATGTCAATAGTACTGAGGTGGTTAGTAAAAAAGCACAAAAATACCCAAACCATTTTGCAAATACTGAAATTAACAAATGCTTATTGGAACACACATATTGCAACTATCAATCTCTTTAACATTTCTCTGCCTGTCAATGTTTGTGGAAAAGCACAGAATGTGAAACATGGAAAGCATTTGATGATAACAAACAGTCCTTCAGCAGTAAACTGGAGTAAGTTCTGGTCATGATGAGCTATGAAGATGAGCAAAATTATTGTCAGGCAGGAAACCAGTCAATCAGCACCTAAAAGATAAAAAGAATACATGATTCTTTATTCCTAGAGCCCATTATTTTGTTGAATGCTGTCAACTTAATCAACCCATAACTATTTTTGTTGTAATTGGAACTGTTTAGTCTATTGTATCCAGTGTGATTGCAGTTTTGTCTTGTGTTGCAACAGTTATTTCTAAAAGAAAGAAAAAAAAAACCCATTTTTCTGTGAATGCATTTCAATTATCTGGTATATTTCAGATGTATATCAGTGGCATTATATTAAAAACTTCTATCTTCATTTTTATACACTCTATAAAGTTTTTAGGTTTAGTTTGTTTGTTAACATTAGGTTTCAATCCTCTAAAGGACCCTAAGATGACAAGATTAGCCAGGGTCAATTAAATGTTAAAGGTATTTAGGCCAAAGGGAAAAATTGACAATGTCACCAAGGCTAATAAAATGCTCCCCTGGACGCAGCTATATACGACCGCAGAGGTCGAACCCTGAACAGTTGGGGCAAGTATGGACACAACATTCAAGCTTGATACAGCACTGAATTTGGATTGTGATTAAATATTTGACACAGCATAGGTTTCTGACACAGAATGAATGTGGTCTATGAACTTAAAATTTTTTAATTTACCTATTCAAACCATATCAATTTTATTTGCTTTTATATTTAAATCAGAAATAACCAAATTGAATTTAAAATGGAAAATTTTAAAGAAAAAAAAATCCCTCCCCCAAATTTTTTGAACCCCCTTATGATTCATCACCCCAAACTCAATCCCAGCCTTCCCTTTGTGATATGGAAACTTGTAGTACATTTTCATAAAGATCTATACACTTACACACAAGTTATTGTCCTGAAACTAGAAAAATGCTTGTTTTTTGCCCCTTTTTGGCCCCTAATTCCTAAAAATTTTGAGGCAATTACCCCCAAAATCAATCCCAGCCTTCCCTTTGTGGTATGGTACCTTGCAGTACAATTTCAGAGAGATCCATACACTTGAACACAAGTCATTGTCTGGAAACTAGAAAAATGCTTATTTTTGGCCCCTTATTCCTAAACGTTTTGGGCAATTACCCCCAAACTCAATTCCAGCAAGATCCATACACTTACACACAAGTTATTGTCATGAAACTAGAAAAAAAGCTTGTTTTTTTACCCTTTTTTTGCCCCTAATTCCTAAAATTTTGAGGCAATTACCTCCAAAATCAATCCCAGCATTCCCTTTATGATATGGAACCTTGTGGTACAATGTCAGAGAGATCCATACACTAACACACAAGTTATGTCTGGAAGTTACAAAAATACTTATTTTTGGCCCCTTATTCCTTAACTGTTGGTACCATAACCCCCAAAATCAATCCCAACCTTCCTTTTGTTGTATTGAACCTTATGGTAAAATTTCATAGAGATCCATTCACTTAAACTAAAGTTCGAGTGCGAAAACCAATATGTCTTCGGACGATGACGACGACGCCGGACAACTACGATGACGCCAAAGTCATACCAATATACAACCGCAAAATTTTTTTGCGGTCGTATAAAAATAGAACATACAGGGTCAAATGCAAATATGTCTATTATCTTGAAAACTGATAGACCTATTGTTTATTTTGATCAGACTACTGCTTGTTAGGTGTTCTTTTCTTGAAATGATGACTTTTTAACAATTTTTGCTACAACAATTTTTAGTTCAGACTTTAATTTGGACAGCAACCCTATTTTACGTATAGATAAATCTAAATTATTCCATTGCTATATAGGTGATTGGATATAAGAGTTTCTGGTACTGGAAACTCTGTCAAAAATTTGATAACCATTTTTATCACTATTTTGTTTATTTTTTCTCTGATCTTTTTTTGTTATAATTTTTCATACCATACTACTTGCTTGAGATAGAAAATGATCACTGAAACTAAGGACGCACATGCTGTTGTCAATGTTAATATCAACAACGTCATAGGCAAAATAGAGATAAACAGATTATCAATGGTCTTTCAAACTCTAGGATGTTTCTCGGCCACATCTCATCTCAGGGCTGTCGCCCTTTGATGAGATGGTAGCTGAGAATTACTCTCTTGTTTGAAAAACAATGGATAATCTACAAGTCAGGAGATAAACTAGTAGTTTGAACAAGGCTTATTCTGTAAACAATTACCCCACTGGCAAGGATTTTTTTATCTATATTATGTAAAAATCAACTCAATGACTACAATTTTTACATTATCCTTAAACAATGAACGCACTGACAATTATTTTTACAACTCAGTGTCTAGTTATTTTTGCAAAAAAGAAAAATATCTTCCTATGAGTTTTGAGTATGTCAATTGACCTGTTTTCCAGGGAAGAGTTTAATTTCCTACTCAAAATAGTAAACTGTATAAATCTGAAAAGATCTGATTGTGATTCAAGTGTATGCTACAAGATCTTTCAAATATAAATGCAAATTTATACCTTCAAATATGACTTAGATTTTCTCTCTTATTCTGTTTGTTCACCTCCCTGCAAGTAAAACAAAGAAAAAATAGTTTAGTGATTACATGTGTAAATTGACAAATGAAGCAACAGAAGTTAGACTATTGCCTTTGATTGGTCCCTGAAAGTATAACATTGAAATTAATTCTGAAGTTCATTTTTATGAAAATGTATAAAGTACAAAACTATAATCTAGCCATTGAATGGCAACAGTATTAATTAATATTTGTTTAAAAATGTCAAATTTATACATCGTTCTATAATTTCTGAATATGAATTTAGCATAATTGTTATAAAAAATATCTTTGAGGAAAAATATAAAAATGGAATAACAAATATAAATATATTCATCAATGAAAATTGTGAGAATAAATTTCAAATAAAACTACATACTGTGATAAAAATATATAAACATGTTTAGGGCTGTTCCATCAAAACATACATGGTACCAGTCACCATAGAAATGATTTTAGAGTCATGCATAGTGCATACATTTTAAACTTGCACACCACAATGTTTCACACCCACTCAAAGTGGCAAATTAGAGTTGCCTTCCCTGGGTCCCATGTATGTTTTTATAGAACAGCCCTTACTAACTAGAAATAAATTTTATGACAATTAAAAAGTATAGGAAATGCAGAAAACATCAGAAATAAATTTTAATTCATAAATACTAGAAGCACTAGATTCTCTCCAACATGATCAAGATCCCTGATCTTGATAACATACACTAGTCTAAACAAAAATGTTATTCTTAAATGTTATAGTATGTTAAGGTAACAAAATATCAATTTAAAAAACAAAAACTAAGATAGGTTCAACTTATACAGTCTTAAACAATGGTTCACTCAGGATAATTAATTCAATTATTCAAATAAACAGAAGTAACTAATGTTAAACTGTATCATTATTTGTTCCTTGTTCATGCCATGCTCAAACAAAACAACAACTTGAATTCCTAATTGTTCCTTGGTCACTCCATGCTGACAAACTTTTCTAAAAATATACCTAGCATTTAGCTGGTGTCTACAGACATATGACATAAATACACACATACTATGTACCGGTACCTAGAAAAATGCCATCACACTCCATGCTGGTTAGCAATATTCTGTCATCTGTGGTGTGAATTAATATTGCCTATAAAACACCATGCCAAACAATTAAGTTAAATCTACTTTCATCATTTCAATCTTTGTTAGAACATCACACTCCATGCTGGCTGGCAAATATTCTGTCATCTGTGGTGTGAATTAATATTGCCTTTAAAACACCATGCCAAACAATTAAGTTAAATCTACTTTCATCATTTCAATCTTTGTTAGAACATCACAATCCATGTTGGCTGACGAGTATCCTGTCATTTGTAGTGCCAATGATTCTCTATAAAACACCATGCCAAATAATTGAGTTAAATCTACTTTCATCATTTCATTCTGTGTTAGAACATCACATGATGCTTTTAGGCATGAAACAATATAATAAGCTCTTTGTCTGTCAATTTCACACTTCATGCATAATACCTAATCTTCCATTTCTCTCCTGCGACGTCTTCTTCTCTCAGCAGCTGTTTCTTCCACACCAGAAGAGTCTTCCTCCTTTTTAGTTCTCTCTTCACGTCGTCGTCTTCTCCTTTCTTCTAGAGACTCTGAGACCCCAGAATCCTCTTCATTTCCTCTCCTGGAACTTGTAGCTTCCTCAGCAGCTGCTGCTTCTTCCTTTTCTTTCTTTTCTCTCTCCATTCTTCGTTTCCTTCTCCTTGCTTCTAAGGAATTGTCCTCCTCTTCCTCAACTTCTATTGGTTCTGGAAGTTTCTCCTCTACCTTTTCCTCCACTTTTTCTTCTACTTTTGGGGGTTCTTCTACCTTTTCCTCTTCCTTTGGAGGTTCCTCCACTTTTTCTTCTTCTTTTGGAGGTTCTTCTTTCTTTTCTTCTACCTTCTCCTCCTCTTTTCGGGGTTCCTCTACTTTTGGAGATTCTTCAACCTTTTCCTCAACATTTGGAGTTTCTTCCACCTTTTCTTCTTCTTTTGAAAGTACTTCTTCCTTCTGAGACTCCTCTACTTTTCCTTCCTCTTTTGTGGCCTCTTCAATCTTTTCCTCCTCCTTTTTAACTTCTTTATCTTCTTCTTTCACCTCTTCAATCTCTGCCTCCACTTTGACATCTTCCTCCTTTTTCTCTTCATCTATTGTAACATCAGATGATAAAGTAAATGTGGCTGTCTCATCTGTTTCTTCAGTTTTAGTTTCCTCAGCTTTCACTTTTAATTCCTCTTTCTTCAAATATATATTCAATCAAATTTGATGTGTTATGGCATTTAACTTGCAGTATGTGATAGAACTCCCTCTTAAACAAGTTATGATATAAAATTAGAAATACAAATAAAATATGATTATCTACCACACTAACAATGAGCATGTTCTTTCCCTTAACATGTGTTATTTCAAAAAAAGAATTACTACTGATACATATTAAATACGTTTTTTTTTATAAACAGACATAAAATTAGCCATTTTATACATTTTATAGCTATTTGCACTTTTTAGCTGACTGATTACAATTATAACCACTACTTCTGAAAATAATTAATATAGAAACACATCTAATATAAAAATATTCAACATTATCAATATTACATTCAGAACATTAATGTGTGAAATAAGCTATTATTATATTAAGTCAGAAAGTATTGTTTTTACATACTAATGAAAAAAAGATTTTTAATTAGTAAATTATATCTTAGTGCAGAACAATTAACCTCTAAAAAGAAACAAAAGTAATTATGTTAGTAAATTTCCATGTTATTTAAGGGGAGATATTCCATGCCACTTACTTCTTCTCCTTTAGACTCCTCCTATAACATATTTTGTTCAAATCATTAATTTTCCTGTTATTCAGCATTTTTCAAATTCTTAGTTTTTTAATGTTAAATCTCTCCATTTTGATTATATTTTTTGACAAAATTCAATCTGTCAAATAGAGCTCAAGATAAATAAAAAAATTGTAATTAAATAAATTGCTTCGCTGAGCGCAGCTGGATACGACCGCAGATGTCCAACCCTGAAAAGTTGGGCCAAAATGGACACAATATTCACGCTTGATACAGGTCTGAATTTGGATTTTAACTAAATTTTTGACACATAATAGGTTTCTGACACAGAATAACTGTAGTCAAAGAACTTCAAATTGGTTATATGATTTGAATTTATATTCAATTTATTGCTTTTGTGCAATACACTATGCTGTTCCTTTAGTAGTTATAAACCTTGTGTTAAAATTTTATTGATTTCTTTTTACTTATACTAAAGTTATTATCCGGAAACCATCTGTCTTCAGACGACGCTGACGACGACGACAACGTGATACCAATATACGACCAAAAAATTTTTAATTTTTTCGGTCGTATAAAATTTTTTTTTAATTTTTACGGTCGTATAAAAACTGTGAATTTTCCTTCTATTACTTTTTTCATAGTTAGATCAATCAATTACATGTACATTATCCTTCAGCAAACTTTTATCTATTTAAAGAAAACAATATTTGAGCCAAATTTACCTTGTTTTCATTTTCCTCCTCAACTGGCTTTTCCTGAAGATATTTCAATTACATAATTAATACATAATACAGAAAAAGTTTGTCAAAACTATACTGTTTCAATTAAAGAGATCAATGATTTACAAAAATAACTTGTTCATAGCATGATTTAGTTTTTGACTTTGTGGTAGGGGGCAAATCTACACAATATCAGCTACATTTGTGTACTTTCAAGTCTAATCAAGGGACATTGGCCATAAAAAATACAGAAAAGTCAAAGTATTGATCATCAAAAATATTTACATCATTTATCTTCTCAGGAGATATTAAAAAGAAAGAGAATCTTTTATAATCTATACCGGTAAATAAAAAATGGATTTGTTTTCCACAGAAAAAAATCACAGAATTATTTCAGTATGTTCTTAAAACCATTAAAAAGGCATGCATCATTGTCACTAAATATTAAAACTAACAGATTACTGGTTCATCATTCCATTTACTAACTACTATAAAACTTTCTCAACACAAAAAACAATATGTATGTACTACAATTATAAAAAGTGTCCACTGAAACAAGGTTCACACACATGATGGTCAAAACTTGCTGTCAAACATTACATGTAAAACCAGAAAATATTCAAAATAAGTTAAACTCTGAATATATTTATCTGGAACATAAAACTGTTCATAAAGTCTGAAACACTCTGGTAAAACCACACCATGCTTTGTCTATTCTACTGTAAATCCATGGAAAGAGTTAATACTTCATTCCAGTCTGCTGTGTGCGGAGCAATGGGTACACCACTGGCATCATCATGCATCCTTATCACTCTTGGAAACACCATGCATGTATTCTGTTGGTTTGTTGTTTTAAACCAATCAACAAATATTTTATATTCATGATATTTATTTCAGTTTGGTCATTTAGATAAAAATCAGGAAAGAGTATCATGCAATGTTCCACACAGTATGAGTAACCTTTTCCTCAGCTTTTGTTTCTTCTTTTTCTTCCCCATCTTCTACATTTTTGTCATCCTTTGCTTCAACTTTGCTATCTGTTTCATCCTTCTTTTCCTCCTCTCCTTCTTTCTTATCTTCTTCATCTTTCTTTTTCTCCCCTTCTTCCTTCTTTTCCTCCTCTCCTTCCTTTTTTTCTTCTTCCTTCTTTTCATTACCTTCTTCCTTTTTTTCTGCCTCTCCTTCAGTCTTTTCCTCTTTCTCTTCCTCAGGAGAATCTGGTTTATTTTTCTCATTTTCTTTGTCTTCCTTTTCTTTAACTCCCTCTTTCTCAGCAACCTCTTCTATCAATTCAGTTTTCTCCTAATTTGGTTTTTAATATAAATATTAGTAAAAATCATGAAGTGGAGAGAAAAGTATCAAAGAACTTGTAAAGTTTTGGAAGAAACGACATGGAATTAAATATTTTTTTATCATCAGATTTTAATTGCATCATCACAAATCAGTCCTATTTTTAAACTTTCACATCACATTACAAAGGACGAAGAACAAATTCCAAATTGACATGGACGATTGTTGCCCATGAATTTTCATGAATTATACCACTTTCAAGAAAATAAAGAGAAAAAATAAATGTGTACACACAAGGAGATCACATTTAAAAATAATATTATTCTAGCTCAGTTTTCATATCACATTTTAAAAGGGATTTTTATTGACATATATGGAACAACTTCATTTTGGTAAAAGTAATCAGATCTGATGCATATTAACTTAAACAATTTCTGTATTTATGAAACTGATGCTGTGTACCTTGGTTTATGTCAACTTGGAAAAAATACATTATACAATCATATAAAAATGTTTACCTATTTCTTTAACTAATTATAATATGCCTATTTTTCTTGAAATGAAAAGGAAGTAACATGCCACATCACCCTGTGTTCCTTTTTATAGCCTCATCAATTTTAATTGTATCAAAATCAGGATTAACATCAATATCATGCACAACTAATGACAGTGTACATGGATGGGACTGATATCCACATACAAGGTTAACAGCTTTACATCGTATGTCAATTTGCCATGTCTATTTAAAAGTCTACTTTTTGGTAAAAGGTAATTTTCAAGATTAGTTCAATTATCATGATGCACATTAAGCATGGAAATAATGCTAGAAAAAATAATATGCCTGATCATTTTGTGCATCTTTCAAAAATCACCACAAGGCTCAAAGATTCTTTAAAGCTGTCAACTCTTGTTGCTGTCTAATTGACGAATACCCTATTCTGTCTAATTGACGAATACCCTCTTCTGTCTAATTGAGGAATACCCTATTCTGTCTAATTGACCAATACCCTACACTGTCTAATTGACGAATACCCTATTGTCTAATTGAGGAATACCCTATTCTGTCTAATTGATGAATACCCTATTCTAACTATAAGCAACAAAAAAGTTTTAGTAAACATGTTCATTGTTTAAATTTAGCTTCCTTCAACTGTAATGGAAATGCATGCTTTAATAACATATTCAGTACCGTATTCTGGCTTGTATAGTCCGCGGTTTTACTCTCCAAAATTGAAGCTGCCAGGCAGGGATGCCGATTATAGAGTACGATAAGCAAGAAATAAGAGAAAAACTCGAAACCACAAGGTTTAAAATTGAGAATGGAAATGGGGAATGTGTCAAAGAGACAACAACCCGACCATAGAGCAGACAACAGCCGAAGGCCACCAATGGGTCTTCAATGCAGCGAGAAACTCCCGCACCGGGAGGCGTCCTTCAGCTGACCCCTAAACAAATATGTATACTAGTTCAGTGATAATGGACGTCATACTAAACTCCAAATTATACACAAGAAACTAACATTAAAAATGATACAAGACTAACAAAATCCAGAGGCTCCTGACTTGGGACAGGCGCAAAAATGCGGCGGGGTTAAACATGTTTTTTGAGATCTCAACCCTCCCCCTATACCTCTAGCCAATGTAGGAAAAACAAACGCACAACAGTACGCACAGTAAAACACAGTTTAAGAGAAGTCCGAGTCCGATGTCAGAATAGGAAACAAAAGAAAATAAACAAAATGACAATAATACATAAATAACAACAGACTACTAGCAGTTACTGACATGCCAGCTCCAGACCTCAATTAAACTGATTGAAAGATTATGTCTTCATCATATGAATATCAGGCACAATCCCTCCTGTTAGGGGTTAAGTATTATACCATCATAAAATATATGTTTACATTCCGCCATGATTGTTATGGAAATTGTAGAGGGCCCCTTATCATTTTCAAAACTAATATTTTACCTAATCCATATTAATGTGCAATTTTAATTCAAAATTCATTTTAAAGTCAATACTTCTTAAATCAATTGCTTCCTTACAAATTTCTTGTTTCTTTTTCACAACATAAACTGGAAACTGCTATTATTTAACGGAATGAAAAAGTGTATAAGTCAGCCGGTAACCAGCTTATGCATAACGATGAATAAACTACAAAACTAAAACGGTTATTCGTTCTTTTTGGTGATTCATACTGACACATGTGTTTTGTTTTAGCTTAAGATCCTTCAAACATTAATTTGATGGATGTGTTTAACAGTATTTTACTAAAGAATGGAACTGTTTTAATTTCAAAGTCGTGTTCTAGTAATATCTATAAAATACGGTTTTTCCGCACACTCTCACCGTATTGTTTTCTATTTACACGTGCTATTCTTACTTTCGGTTACAACTTTCCCAATTGTTTTTTTTTGTTGTGATTTTGACTTATTTTAACATTCTAGAAATGTTCTAGAGTCATTTACAAGCATTTTCAACTTCTACTTGATGGAAAACAGGTTTTTCCATGAAAATACAACAAACGATCACATATGATTTGATATTACCGGAGTTTTAAGGAACATTTTTGACCAGTTTCAAAAAGTTTTTTACCTGAATTTTCATGTCGAGAAGGGGGATGCGGACTACTGTAAATTCAGAAATTATTGCGTGCATTTATTATTGCGATTTTGTCATTTTAGACTAAAATGGGATTTTAATATTTGCGATATTGAGAAAAATCTTGTTTAATTCATATAAAAAATTTCAAAATGCGAGCTTAAATTATTGCGATTATAACCCTGTCGCATTTTTCGCAATAATAAAAACATCACAATAATTTGTGAATTTACAGTATGTACCAGTGAGAACTATACAAGGCCGGTTACAGTAAAAGTATTTTGCAAAAATTCTGGTCTCATCATTACAGTTTAAATAGATTTTTCTCTCAACTAGGAAATAAACACACTTTTAGACTGAGTAAAAAAAATCAGCATTAATCATTTTTTTTTCAAATATCTTTAAATATCAATTACATAACAATACCCACCAATAATGAGTAAGGGCAACTTAAAGAGACATAACCAAAAAAATCCACTTAGAAGGCTATTTGAATTTCATATAAATTGGATTTTCCTACTAGAAAGGATACTCTGTGCCAAGGGGTACTGATAACTCTTCAAATCAGTAATGCATTTGTAAATTTTATTTTCATCAATAACCTTATGCATTTATATGATACAGAATGAAGAATTATTATTTTTATTAAAAGCTTTTGATATATTTATGAAATTGTTGGCACAAACATACCAGTAATTTTTAAGAGTTGTGTCCCTTAGCATACAAGCAAACACAATTGACTGATAGCTATATATAGTGTCAGCAGCAGTTAGAACATAAATTTATGCAATCATCCTTAAACAGACTTGAAAATTTATGTAGCCAAATTTTGTTTACTCAGTATATTTGTAAGTTAATCAATATCTAATACAACTGTTAGTATTATTAAATAATGTACAACACATATTTCTATCTCACTATTTCATACACAAGACGATGTAAAGGTTTTATCATATAACCTACATTACAGAGTACATTCAGGAACTATGGTGACATATTTATCTATCCTTGTAATGCTTTAAAGGGTAAAGTAATCATGGTAATGCATTTTAACATTAATTTTCCATCAGAGCTATTACAGAAAATTGTTTTGGGAAGGAACTTATAATAAATAATGAAAGCTTGAATTGCTTTGAAAAGAAAATATAATTCTTAATTAATTTGCTTCAATATATATGTAGGACTCGGAGGTGCGATGGGGACGCTGAAGTGTGATGGTCACGCTGAAGTGCGATGGTCTACGCCGAAGTGCGATGGTCCGTTCGCTGATGTGCGATGGTCTATTTGACGCTTGACAGCTAGTTTAAAATATACAGATGTGCAGTTATTATGAGAAGTACTTGTAGATTTCTTCAATAGTTAGTAAATGAATTTACATTCATTATTGTATATGTCAGTCCTTAATTACAGTTGCATACTAAATGAGAGATCGTCCTCTTTGATTTTCTACATGTGGACATAATTCTGCATTAACATTTTATCTTTACTTTGTTCCTCTCATGAGTTCCTCGTTTACCGTAATATAGTAATACGGAGAGTCTGTCTGCGAACCTGTATGTACTTACAGAATGTCACACTCCATCGTACGTAAAGAGGAACCTTTTGAAGATTTCGGGTAACGCTACAGAAGGTTAACTTTCCCCTATCCACCAATCCTCCCTGTGTCTCGTAGTATTAAAAGTTTATAAGCCCCTTATCAACTTACAAACATGGAAAACTGCTCATAACATACACATTGACTTCTACATCGACATGAAAAGAATTGAAAATGTAGTTTGAGTAGACCATCGCACTTCAGCGTTATCACCATCGCACTTCAGCGTGACCATCGCGGTTTGGAGTACCATCAGGTTCAGAGTCCTACATATATATAGTGGAAGTAAAAAAGACAGCCTTCCATACTTTTTATGTAAAATAGCCCTAACAACAACCATGAAATTTATAACTGCAAAAACTGCAAAACTGCATTAACGCCATTAAATAGTAGGTGTCAATGATACTTGTTCATAAATACTCTAACCAAAATTTTAGAATTAAGCATTTACAATATACAGAATTCATTTAATATTACGAATTGAGGAAATTAAAAAAGAGAATATTACACAATGATCAAAACGGGGGAAAACTTATTGCAATCAGACTTTATATTCCCCAAATGTAAAAAGAGATTTTGATTGGATAAAACACCATGCACATGCCATGTTACCATGGATACCTCATCTTTCTTTTCTTCATCTTCCTCCTCCTGATACAAAAATAGGATAATCATGTACCAATTTACTGGTCAAGGTAACATTTTTTACAACATATGATACATGTATATGAAATCTCTTGTACATGTTGTACAATTAATATACGGTGTATAACACAAAATCAAATAAAAAATATATGTGATATAAGCCAATCTTTCTTTTATAATATAATTTTTTATATAAAGAGGATAATTCCATTAGTTATAAAACTAAATTTCCCTTCATATATATATATATTAGGTGACCCATTGGAAACAAGAGCTATAATATGTAGTTATATATAATTACATGGCAAGTTCTTATTTTTATTGAGGGAAGACAAAATCCTATTGTAGATTGTTCATAAATCATGAAACATTAGTACCAGTATAATCTATATAACCTACATGACCTGTGTAATGTGGCAATAACAGAAAAATAAAATCTCCACTCAACCAGCAATTCAAGTGTATCACCCTAAATTGGCATATCATTAGGAAACCTCTACAACATGTACTGATGATTTAACAGAGTGGTCAAGACCAGTTAATCTATTCCCTACCCTTGTAACGAGATGATTACTTACTCCTGTTACGGTCACTGATGCTTCAGATGTTTTCTTAGGTGGCGCCATTTTCAAAAATTCGTATAATAAATTGTCTTCAACATTTAAATCAAAATCTTCATAATCCTGAAAAAGAAATGTTATCCTATAAATATACATGATGTAATGATATAAAACTTAAAAAAAAATATATCTATAAATTCATAAAATAACAAGATATGTTTTTCACAATTCAGTCAATGACAGAAGTCGGAAAGGCATGTTGTTAAAATAATCTCTTCATTTTAGTAGGTGCCTAATCTATCTTAAGTATTTGTCCATGTTGTCAGTTGGTGTCATTGTTTCTATTTTTTTCAATTGAGAATATGGTGCTGTTTCAGATATTAAGTCTTCTATGTTTAATTTATTCACAACAGGTCTAGATTCCATGCATTTTAGAATTTTTCTTACAATGTATGCTTTTGTCCACTGATCAAACCAATATCATGATCTTCATGATTACTTTGGTTAAATTGTATTGATTGGTTGGTTTCTCATTGTTTATTACTTTACATCTCTTTTTGATGCATACATATTATTGTATTTACATAAAGCACTACAGAAAATTGTTAATGAAGTTGTTGGAGACTTATTCTTACTGCCATTGCTTGTCTCTTAAATATGTGAAAATAGTTTTGGGACAGACGGAAGGACAGACAAGGGTAACACTTAATGACCTCTTCCCCTAGTGGAGGGGGCATAAAATTCCCTTTCACTTATAGACATTATAATTTTTTATTTACATAACAATTTAAAATTTTCTGCCAAACTGTGATCACTTTACAACCAACCAGCAAAGCTTCAAAATTGCTAAATTAAATAAAATGCTTCGCTGAGCGCAGCCTGATACGACCACAGAGGTTGAACCCTGAACAGTTGGGGCAAATTTGGACACAATATTCAAGCTTGATACTGTCTGAATTTGGATTGTGATCAAATTTTTGACATAATATAGGTTTCTGACACAAAATAAATGTGGTCAAAGATCTTATAAATCCATTGCACAATACTGTGCAATTGAAGATTTCTTCTTGAAACTTTTCAAAAATTCTATTTTTTAAAAATTTGGAACAAAAAATATGAATCCCTTAAAAAAATTGGGAAAAAAATCCCCCCCCCCCCTATTTGAAACCCCCCTTGGAGCAATAACCCCAAAACTCAATCTCAGCCTTTACTTTGTAGTATGAAACCTTGTAGTACAATTTCAGAGAGATCCATACACTTACACACAAGTTTAATTGTCTGGAAACTAGAAAAATGCTTGTTTTTGGCCCTTTTTTGGCCCCTAATTCCTACATTTTTGGGACAATTAACCCCAACCTCAGTCCCAGCCTTCCCTTTATTAAATGGAACCTTGTGGTACAATGTCAGAGAGATCCATACACTAACACACAAGTTATTGTCTGGAAACTAGAAAAATGCTTGTTTTTGGCCCTTAATTCCTAAACTGTTGGCCCCCATAACCCCTAATATGAATCCCAACCTTCTACTTGTAGTATTAAACATTGTGGTACAATTTCAGAGCAATCGAAATACTTATACACAAGTTATTATCCTGAAACTAGAAAAATGCTTGTTTTTGGCCCCTTTTTGGGCCCCTAATTCCTAAACGGTTGGGACCATCATCCCCAAAATCAATCCCAACCTTCCTTTTGTGGTATTGAACCTTCTTTACACATTTCATAGAGATCCATTCTCTTAAACTAAAGTTATTGTCCGGAAACCAATGTGTCTTCGGACGACGACGACATCATACCATTATACGATCCCAAAAAATTTTTTGCGGTCGTATAAAAAAGATGTCTGTCTAAATTTGTATTAATATTTAGGGGAGTATCCCAGTAATCATCTGAGAAAGTTCTTAGTTATCTCCCCTGATACCTACACCACAATATTCTTCCTCATTAAATATCTGTGGAGGTAATGGAACTGTTGATCCTTCTCGAATTTGACTGTTAGCTCTCATAAACTTTTTGTCTTCTTCATTGTTTGGACAAGAAATGTCTATGTTTTCAAATTCTATCTTAAAACTTTCTAACGTGGACTGAACATGCTGCTGCTGTTTCCTCATCTGCAAACAAATAAACAAAAACATTTCATCAATGAGTGTCCTTATACATGTAGTTATATATATATATATAAATAGATAAGGCATTGTATAACATATATATATGTTAAACTATAACATAATCATTTCATCAATGAGTCTTTATACAGGTACATTTTTTAGTTATTGTGTACAAGATTGTACAACCTTCAATAGGATTTACTGCTCAATTACAAATGATGAACATTATATACAGGAAGAATTTATAAGTTCACTTGTTTGAGACTCTTATCATATAGTTTATTAACATAATTTCATTATTTGAGAAATTGAGAAGGCCCAGCAACTTATTTCAATAGTGGTGTGGGATTAATGTACACTAGGACTTAATATCATATTACATTACTCAAAATTATGTAAAATTATACAGGGGTTTTTCTGGGTATTTTGGGAAAAAGGACCCTGGCCAGTTTTGGGAATTTATTTACGTGATTTTCAATGAAATTTGGAAAATAATTTTACCAGATGTGAGTTTTAGTGTGTTTAGTTCACTAATAAATATCTTTTTTTTGTGAAAATAAAGTAAGAAACTACATGATTGCTATTAATAATTTCATTTTCTGTTCTTTTTGTTTTAAAACTTAACAACAAGGTACTCAAGTTTATTTTAGTATCAAAATATTGTAGTTCTTAAAGCACATGTGATAAAAATTTATTGCCTTTTTTATCTTTAAAGACAGTAACAGTTAACATGGTTAATATAATAAATAATTCAGGGACAGAAATAAGATGTATTTAAATTGGTCAGGCAGGCTTACACTTTTTTAAATGCACCTGTTTTTCCATATTTTTACTAGCCCTTCAAAATTTAATGGATTTTGACATGAAAATTTGTGAACTAAAAATTTTGAGATTCTGCATAAAATATTTCCTTTGTTTTTCTTTCTATTTAAATTTTTCATATATCTTTTGGTTTTCAATTCTAGTGTTTATATTTCATAGCTGTATTTTTTTTATTTATTTATTGTTTTTAATCGGCAAACCCAGAATTACACGTATCCGCTTCCGGAATCAGATTCGGTATTGTAATTGTCTACATTTCTGATTTACATGGCAGCCATTGTTTGTCAATGTTGTTGTTGTCAGTCAGAAATGTTTCTACTTGGATTTACACATTACTTGTTGGCGATTTTCGGCATAAAGCTAGCGGTTGAACAAAATGAACATCACTGTCATGAATAATAAAGATGAAAATGAATTTATAGATTGTTTGGGAATTTTTCTCCAAAAATTGGGAAAAATGTAGGGTTTTTGCCATTGGGAATGGGTCCGAATACCGGACCCTGTGGAATGCTAGAAAAATCCATGAAATACTTCAGCCTAAATTACTGTAGGCAAATATTTGTATGGGGCATGGTATTCCTGTTAGTCTAAAATGTTTTAAAATAAATTACAATATAAAAATAAGGAAGTGTGGTAAGATTGCCAATGCAATGAGCAACTATCCAACTATTTCAAAATAAATCTGGCAGATTTTACAGTATTGTGTTCTGCCTCCTACTTCCATGATAAATAATTAAAGAAGGCATTACACGAAAAAAAATTATATTTTCTGAAAATTTATTATCAGTAGATCATAATTCTTCAAAAAAGGAGTAAATAATGTAAGAGATTATTGAATGGTTGCCAAGGAAACAGGGATACCCACATTTTCTCCTTTTGCACCCTGGACCAAATTTTCATTAATTTTGGTTTAAAGCCTTTAACCAGCAATAAAACCAAAATAAATTCTGAAAGGTAAAGGATTTAGGAAGATATTCAGCATCTTACACATTACTATTTCTAATATATTAGTGGAAAAAAAATATGTTCAAGATGATGGACATGTGACATATGGAAAATGGGACAAAAAGTTTATGTTTTTCAAAGTAAATGACATCTAATACACAGTAAAAAGAATTGAATAAGTATAAAGTTGCATGTGTTGCCAATATTTACTTTTTACTAGTTTAATTTGTGCCAGATTCTTGAAAGAAAACATGTTTTGAATTAAGGCAGTTGCTAATGTGAAGGAGACAAAAATGAGTAACGTTAGCGACATTTGGACATGTCACATTAGCAACAGCATCTTTAAAAAATAAAATGTATGCACACAGTCATGCTTTATAAATGCTTTGAGTAATTAAATTGTACAGTCTGGTTTAGAATATCTAAATATACAGAATGTCATTGGCAGGTGTACTTTGTATCAAATGAATATACAAGAAACCAATTTGTAATAGTAACATTAGCAACATCTTCTTCAGTAATACATTAAGAAAATTTGCTATCTAGATGGGTCGCACTAAATGGGGCCAAAATTGTTACAGGAGGTGAAAAATAAGATTCATGATATCTTTATCGAAAAAGTTTTAAGATGTAACTGAATGATTCTTCTAGATCTGTTCATATCTTTAGTCATGAACTGAGATGTTGATATGATATGAGTACCAAATGCAATAAGAACTGTTCTTTGTACCAGATTGACACACCAGATTTTATGGATGGATGGATTAATTATTGTTTAAGGTCCAGTGTCAAACTAGTATGTGCACATCAGGACGAGAACAAGTTGATGTAATATGATCCTGCTTTGTACTAGACCGACACGCTTAGCAGGATTTTCCACAAAGACACATTATACAGACTCTGTTGCCTCTGTAAGCTGACCTTGCTTTTGCTCCTAAATGCTGTCGGCTTGGATGAGAAGCAGCAAAGACCAATTTTAATGTCTTATTTTATCTGGCTGGGGATTGAACCTGCAACCTTTGGCACTCAAAACAGAAAGGGGGATATGGATTATTTATGAAGCACAAGCCAAAATGCCCATGTAATGTCTGGCAAGTAAAAATCAAACAACAGAAGAATGAACAATTTCAAATCAATTCGCAGTGAAGATGGAAATACCATAGTGATCAATGCCTCAATGACTTTCACCATGGATTGTGGTAAAGAAAGTCTTTTGTAGTCTTCAGAACACCTTGCTTTGCCCATTTAATTCATGATGCATTTGCATTCAAAAGTCTAAAATACTGCCTAGAAGCTTAATAATATTTTAATGTTTGAAAAATTTATCGTCTCTGTTAGTTCTGGAGGACTTCATCTGAAAGAAAATAAATTGAAAATATTACTGGTATATGAATATAATTTAAAAAATGAACGACTATTAAAATTTTTAAAATGTATTGAAGTACTGCCTTCAAATTTACTTCAATCAAGACATAATTTTTTGCCGAATGCTTTCAGTATATATGGTAATTAAAGATATGTTGTCGTCATTAATTGTAGCTAGAACAGTTCAAGTTACCATCTTCTTTTAATGATTACCCGAGATTATGCTAAAATAAGCCTGAAAATCAAATGTATGTTTACCATTTGGTAATTTTGTCTGTGAGCAATGACTTTTATGCCAATTTTGACAATTTTAAGAACTGGACTAATTTTGGCAATTAATGAACTAAGTTGTTATTATAAAAATAGAAGATGTGGTATGAAGCTCTTCGAAAAAGGAAAAAGAATATTACCTTCAAATATATATAGTAATGAGCGCCCCTTCATTACTGAGGGGGGTAGGAGGGGTCCTGATCCCGAAATCCTGGGCTTAAAAACATGGAATCCCGAGGTCCCAAATTTAAAAAAACTTTAATCCCGACATCCTGAAATTCGAAAAAAGAATTCCCGGATCTCGAAAGGATCAATCCCGAAATCCCGAGCTTAAAAACACCCGATCCCAGAATCCCAATAAAGGACCTACCCCCCCCCCCCCCCTCATTACTATATATTAGGCGGTTTTAATTTTCTTATATAACATCACATCAACAATTACTGTCCCAAAGTAACGATCGCTACATAAAAATCTGTCCACCTTATACCGTTCGCATCAAATTATTTAAAGAAATGTATTTTGATGAACTAGAAGACTCAACTGTACGTAAAATATGGTCAAATCTCGTTGGGAGATGAAAAACCACAACAAAAGTTTCTTAATGTGACATTTAAATGACATTACTTGATTCAACGTTTTGTTGAGAATGTCTTTTTGATGGACGGAATACAATAAAGGACCTCATGTAACGATATAACAGACAACTTACCTTCTTTGCTTTCCCATTATGTGAGGAAACCGGCTCCGCATCCATTTCTGCAAAGGGCGATATCGTAACTCCTATACAGGAGAGTTACAGATCTAAATATATATTGCTCACGTGACATTGATTTGGACGGAAACGTAGAGCAGTAACGTTCGCAAAAACTAAAACAGCCAATGATATTGATTCCGAAAGTCCTTTGACCCCCTTTCGTCATCAAAATTTAATGTGATTGCTATTTATATCAATTATTTATAAAACCCAAGTTAAAAATAACAATGGGCCGTCTGAGAACCAACAAGAAAATTGCGATTGTAACATACCACAATGGACGAAAAAGATGTGACGTTCGCAATAATATTATAAAATTACCTTTTTTAGCCTTTACCAATAAAAATGTGCCTTAAAATTATAATTAAAACACAAAAGAAAACTTTTTATTAAAATATAAGTCCATGTTATTAGGCTCCACTTATGAATAATACTTTAAAATTCCACTCCAAATAAGCTAGATGTCAGTCAAGTAGGTCACAATGTCTATTCAATGTCCAATATTTTGAAATTGAAAACCCACTAATTCTAACAAAAAACATAAACACAGGGTGATTTTTATTTTTATTTACTCAGAAAGACACCTTTTATTAAATAAAATAATGCATTACTTCATTTCACACTCTGTTTCACAGTTTCAGCAATTCCTTTTTTGATGAATACAAAAAAACAATACTTCCTTTTAATTGTAAAATCTGCCATCTGTTAAATGATTTATTAAAGATATGGAAAACAGAACTTCCATAAATTATAATGTACATCTATTAAATAGTATTGTTTTTCTTAATATCCCCATCACACTTGGATCACGATCCCGCTACAACCTCAGAAATTAGGGAAAATTTGGGAAGTCGTAGTAAGGACGGGACAAGGTCTTCATGATTGTGGAGGTCCACTACCAACTTTGAACATGCTCAAAACATTTGTAGTGCAGTCGTGGCCAAAACTAGTTGTAGTAGAAGTGTAGGAAGGTCGTAGTAAGGACATATTAAGATCGGGATTGGCATAGAAGCATCCTATTGGAAACGTGGTGCAATCGGGAAGCCAATGGAAAAGATTTCGCTGCCACCTTATTAAGATTTCACTGCGACTATCCTTATTTCAACACATCTTTATTACGCTTCTACTATGATATTGAAATGATTATACAGTACTATGATATCAAATACACACGATACATGTACGTTGATACATATTATCGAGTTCATGCATTGTAATTGTTTATTTTAGACTTTTTGTAATTTGGATATAAACTTTTTAGTATGTTAAAAATCAAATATGAATTTGACACCTAATGCCCCTTTAAGATTTTATGATTTTAGTATAATTACATGTATGCTATTGTTAAGGAGTTTAATGTGGCGTCTATTTCGCTGAATTTGTATACATTATTGTTAAGGGGCAAGCTGAAGCCCACCTCCAGATGCGTAATTTTCTTGCTGCGTTGAAGAGACATAATTTGGTGGCCTTGGGCTGTTTTCTGCTCTTTGGTCGGTTGTCATCTCTTTGACACATTGTCGTTTCCATTCGCTAATCTATTATTTTATACGGTTTTGCAATATTTATTGTTGAAATTTAATCAATTAAATCTATATTTGCACATCTTCTTCCAAATACTGCCCAAATTCAACATAATCACATAAGATAATCTTTATTTCAGACTCAAAAACCGAAAAGGTCCATGTTCAGTAGTTGTCGTTTGTTGATGTGGTTCATAAGTGTTTCTCGGTTTTTATATATAGATTAATCCGTTGCCGTTGGTTTTCCTGTTTGAATGGTTTTACTCAATTTTTGAGGCCCTTTATAGCTTGCTTTGCGGTGTGAGCCAAGGCTCCGTGTTAAAGACCGTACTTTGACCTATAATGGTTTACTTTTATAAATTGTGACTTGGATTGAGAGTTGTCTCATACCACATCTTCTTATGACTTATATCTATAATATTCTGACACCTGTATCATCATCCGTTATGGCTTATGCAGTTACTTCAGACATACAATATTTACTGATAAAGACAACAGTATGAAATAAATCAAATAGTTTTAAAACTCTTCTGAGGTTAGTTTGAAGTTCGAATATGTTTTGTTTACATTTAAATTTAGTAGGTGGGGCACTCAACTGTCAAAAATAGTAAACATTGATGCATCTCACCTTTGAATTGCCTGTTACTGATGATATGTAAACTTTGATCACCATTTTGACGAAAAATTATAGCAAAGAAATGACCAGAAGAAATCGAACGCTGATCAATATTAGGTAATCAATCTTATCATATAAGGATGGCTCAGATTTCTGCTGGATTTGCATAAAATTATTCCGGGTTTATCTTTCACCCATAAAACGTCGACAAAATATTACTTCCGGACCACACTTTCAGTGACGTCACAAATTCTTCACACATCTGTTGTGGCTTGTTGCTGGGCAGGTAAACAAATGCACACCGGGGTCAAATAGTTTCACTTTACATGTGTTCATTTGTTTCGTTGCATTAGAAATTTGTAGATAAAGCAAAATATATTGGAAATAGTGGACTTTTGTCAGGTAATTTGAAAAAGAACAAGGTTTTTTTGTATCATATATTGTGTACTTACACTTTACAGTACAATTTATATCTCAATAATATGTTAATAGTACTGGGGAGCTCACATGACTGTACTTTGCTTGCTTGTACTCATGCTACTGGGCGCATAGGGCAAAGACGTCGCTTTCTTATCCACAACTATTTACCAGACTTTCTAACGCATTATATTATATTATTATTAACATGTAACTTTTCTTTATCTGTTACATTATCATTGAGTCAAGTCTGGTAATTTGGTTCATCTAGTCAGTTAGTACATTTTGTTAACATAACTGTCAAGGATTTGTCTGTATTCATTAACTATGTGATTAACGTCACTTACTTTACCTATTGTTTATGGATATCAGGTCTGTTCGTTCCCAGAACACGTTCGCACCCTACACGTTCGCACCCCACATGTTTGCCCCCTGGTTTCATTAGCACCCCATTTTTATACAAATACGGGATGAATTATGCAATGTTTTTAAAATGTATATATCCAACTATTTATATTTTCATGAATAAAAATTCCGATTTGTGAATTTTCTAAATGAAATTAATTTTTTTTTGTGATTAGATGATTAATTCTGAAATGTTAATTATTTACGATAACTGATAAGCTAATTTCATATTATTGTTGTTGATAATGTCGATATCAGTCACAATTACAAAGGCTTTATCACATCCCTAACAGTATGACGTCACATCATCGATACCAGTCACACTTGCACTAAATACAGCACAAAAAACATTTTCCAAAAGACCAAAAAAGTGAAAAAGTATATTTTAACAAAACGCATTTGACTAGCAGGTCGAACAACGAATGTTCTTAAACCCTGCTGACTGCCATTGGCGATTGCCAAATAAACGGATCACCAGATGTAACCAAATGGATCTTAACTATTAATTTAATACCAAACAGAAAACAATAAACTTGCGGAAAAGATGGTATACCGCAAACAAAAGGTGCAAAAATTAGTACACCATATCCGGATTTCGACAATTAATGTCTCTTCTGTGATGTTAGGAATGGAAACGGTATTTGGAAGGCCATATAATGTACCTCAATTTAGGACTATTAGACTCTTGAATTTTGAAGAGTTGAAATAGGATGAACGGATCATATAAACCTGAAGGCAAATATAATACAAGCCCAAACGAAAAAATATAAACAAGTCTACATTGAAAACAACGTTCAAACCTATGATTGCGTTGGATAAAATCCTCAATTTTTATACATGTGCATGCAAAACAAATTTCTTTGAAGAGGGGTCTAAATACAGCACAAACAACATTTTCCAAAAGACCAAAAAAAGTGAAAAAGTATATTTTAACAAAATGCATTTGACTAGCAGGTCGAACAACGGATGTTCTTAAACCCTGCTGACTGCCATTGGCGATTGCCATATAAACGGATCACCAGATGTAACAAAATGGATCTTAACTTTTAATTTAATACCAAACAGAAAACAATAAACTTGCGGAAAAGATGGTATACCGCAAACAAAAGGTGCAAAAATTAGTACACCATATCCAGATTTTGACAATTAATGTCTCTTCAGTCAGTCAAAGATATAACTCTATAGCGTTATTACAGAAAATAACTTACATGTACATGTGTTATTACAGATACTTTCATGAGTTGTCTACTCTTTATTCCTTAAATTTTGTAAATCTGTAATAACATATGTTTGTTATTTGTAAAATTATTTCATTTATAGTGGCTCTAGGGAACTCTTGAGACTTTGCGCAGAAACTAAATGCATAGCCTTAATAACTAATTTTTTAATTAAGTTAATTCATTTTTGATTAACCATGGTTAATCAATGAGACGAGGCTATTAAGGGATAAACTTAGCTGTGATAACAAGGCTAGGTTATTAAAGGAATGTAACTTATTATATAAGACACTTGGGAATTACTGAGAAACTTGTGCAGAACCTCATTACATGCTCTGGTCATTATTTCTTACAATAAATTAAAATACATTGTAATTAAGCATGATGTATGTCTGAGCAAATGCTTTGAAGTGATATAGAGAAGCTGTGATAACACCCTTTAGTTATTACAGGCATATTTTTTCTGTAATAACATATAGGTGTACTATGCAAAATTGGCAAACTATGAACTGTTATATCTTTCAATAGTTAAGTATACATATAGACAAAAGTAATATCAATAGAACTTTTATACATTTTAACTGAACTAATGATGTATATTGTCCCTTTGAAACATGTAACATACATATGTTATCACAGTTCTTTGATTTTTTAGTCCACATGTATGTTATTTTTCTGTAATAACCCTATAGAGTTATATCCCTGACTGTCAGTGATGTTAGGAATCGAAACGGTATTTGGTCCAAGTACACAGTTATCGTCCATTGATTTTCGTTGTCCACGAATAGAGTCCCTAGTGTGGACAGTGTGTTACTTGCCAATTTTTTATATACCTCTTCCAAATGTATTTCCTCATGTTTTATGCATCAAATAGCAAGTAGGGGGATGAAATGACACTGTAAAAAAATTTGGGTCATGAATTTTAAAGGAAAGTAGTGATTTGGTCCAGGTGAAAAAGGTTAAAATTAGCTCTTCGGAAGCTGTCAAAAGATTTCAAGACCCCCTTAACATAAAAGTGTCCATATTTTGAGTTAGAGCCGATGAAGTTTTCTATAATTTTGATATGATTTGTCCCCAAAGTAGTACTACACACTGTAAAAATATTAATGAGAAAGCGCAGGTGAGATTTTTTTTTATTTTCATTTATTGTCTAAAAGAAATGCACTACGAAATAACTGTGTACTCAGACCTAAGATTTTTGAAGGCCATATAATTTACCTCAATTTAGGATAGACTCTTGTATTTTGAAGAGTCGAAATAGGATGAACGAATCATATATATATATATATATATACAAGTCTGAATTGAAAACAACGTTTTATATATATGTAAGTACGTCTGAACCAGTGACAACTCTACAACAGATTTATCCATCGGATCACCAGCAGTGATGGTGATACATGGCTGTGTACATTCTGTATATATACAACTCATCTTAACATCAGCCCAACAATGTTAGATCTGTAAATTTGCTTTCGCAAATTTTTTTATTTTCGAACTCATGCTACTGAGATATCGTGACACCAAATCGCCTGCACTGTATCCGACGCGCTAGACCACACGACCACCTAGGCTTCACAAATGTTAAGACGAATTTTATATATATATATATGTTCTGTTATCTGTTGCTCTTAAAACTAGATGTTCCTCTTTTGGTCGATATTTGCAAAATAGCTATATAGCAATAATTAATTTGTAATATTTCTGCTTATAATTTTCATTATTAATTCAGAGTATCAATACCAGGGTTCTCATTAAGGAGAGTGCATGCATCCTGAATGCACCATATTTGGAACCAATGCTTCCAAGGGACGTGTCCTGGTAACAACCAGAGTCCTTTCATCATGCCACATCTCCTTATTTTTATTTTGAAGCATTGTGAGCTAAAATGTGCTTCTCTTTAGCATATTTGTTTTTCGTTCATTATTTTGTACATAAATTAGGCCGTTAGTTTTCTCGTTTGAATTGTTTTACTTTTGTCATTGGCCTTTTATAGCTGACTATGCGGTATGGGCTTTGCTCATTGTTGAAGGTCGTACAGTGACCTATAGTTGTTAATTTCTGTGTCATTTGGTCTTTTGTTGAGAGTTGTCTCATTGGCAATCATACCACATCTTCTTTTTATATTCTCTTTAAAGTCTCACCACTTCTCCCAGTCAGTTTCAATAGGAAGCACTCCTATCTTTGATTTTGAAGTCGCGTGAGTCCTGTTTTACTAGAGCTGTGATGAAATAGAAGTTCTTACATAATATTTGTTCTATGTGGAAAAAATATTACAGTATTTGAAATTTTTGGATCATGTGGATAAAGGGTATAGAATATTTGTTATAAGTTATAGGAACAGATATTACATGTATTATGGCCTTGTTTATAACTGTTTCCAGTGGAACTTCTGTTAGGCAGAACAAATATACGTTGACAGAGCTATTATTTGAAGAAAAGTATTGCTGACCAAAAATGCAAGAAGAAGGAATAAAGTTCCTTTGCTTTTTCAGTTTTTGTGTGTTTTTTGCTGTGCATGTACTGATTTTGTGCTATGGATGGATACCCCATATATCCTGTAGTTTTTCTATTCTAGTACATTTTTAATATATGTATAGACTTAGAAAATCCAACAATCTGAGAATTGATTACACATTTTACTTGTATAGAAATATAGAAAAAAGAAGATTATCAAGTGGATTGCAACACTTATGTCGGGAAAGTGTCACATGCTAATAGCAATCCTTCATGGCAGCATCAACATCTGCTGCTTTAATATTTAGGTTCAGTCTGTGGTCAGTTTTTTTAAGACATCTATTACTTTGTCAAATCCTCAGGGAAGTTTACTGAAATTGGACAGAATCTTTTTTTATGATCAAAAGACAATACAGAGGGCACAACAATTAAAAATATTTTTTCTATTTTTCAATATTTACTGTCAGACATACAGACTTAGGTAGGTTTTTTTTTGCAGTTAACATGCAGATACAGTCTGGGGTTAAAGTTTGTTAGACATTAAATACTTTGTCAAACCTTCAAAGAGTTTTATCAAACTTTAGTAGAAGCTTTTTTATATGATTAAAAGAGATAATATCTGAAGCAAAGTTTGAAAATATTTTTTTTCTCATTTATCAGTATTTTACTGATACATGTAGATACATTTTTTTTTTATAGTTAGCATTAACACCCTGGCTGGGATTTATTCTTTTGACATGATAAATTGTAAACTTTCATGGATTGTTATGCAACTTGGATCGAAACTATAAATCTTTATGATCATGAAATAACATGCGAAGAAAAATTTTGATTTAAAAAAAAATTCTTTATTTTACTGATTAGTGGACTCAGTTCTTACAATCAACAGTACACTTTTACACTGACACCAACAATTGCCAGAGCCCTTTACAAATTTTTTAACTGAATTTTCATTGCAATTTTTACTAACAGCTTCATATTTTGCTATGGTCATGTGGTTGATTAAGCCTAAATCAGCCATATACCAGTTTGGTCAATTAAGTTGTTATGAACATACATGTAGTTTATACATGCATCACAAAGAGTATTTGGGTCAATATCCCTGATGTACCTCAAATCTAGGAACTCAACTGTCAGTAGAAATGAAAAAAAACCTGTATGCAATGATATTGGACATGATGCTATTTTTAGTAATTGACTGAGCTTAACCTTTTGTTCCTTTTTTGAAATGCAGAAAACCAAATAATAAAGTTGTTTATAAAAAAATTAAATTCCAGAGAATTTTAGAACTGTGTAAAAATCAATGAAATAAGGACTTTTTACATGCTCAAGCCCTACACTTGGGACTTTTAAGAGTTTCCCAAATCGTGAAAAATTAAATTTCACTTGGACGTGACTTTGTACCCTGAAAATTTAACCATATCTGTCTCGGCTTTAAATCAATCCATCATACATATTTAAGTTTACCATATAGCCAAAGGAATGGAAGAAAAGGGATCCCTAGTCGCCTATCTGAAATGAATTGTGCACATGATTCATTTATGACAGAGTTCATTATTTCTCAATTTTCTATTTTGAATCATAGTTTGACAGCCTCTGTGGTTTTGTGGTAGCCTGCTTGTCTTTAGTGTTGGCGGTTGTGGATTCGATCCCTGGTTATGTTAAACAACAGACTTTAAAATTGACATTTGCCATTTTTCTGCTTATCTCACCGCATTTACACGATTTAGGAATACGAGCAAAAACTGGTTCTATTAGAGGCTGATTAACGTTTTTGCGCACTTTGACAATGTCATCCTGCAGCCTGTTACCATGTGAATAAGCATGTTACAAATCCTGCTGAATATGGCAGAGTAAAGCATTTTTGAAGTCACCAACCCTCCCCTAAACACTATTTCATTCATCCATGAATCCTATTTTAAAATATTCATTTGTAGAATTAAATGTTTGAAGAAAAATCATGTTGTAATGTTATACATACACACATAAATGTACATGTTTTAAAACATTACTTTGTTGAGAAATGATACATGTATATGCATACCAAGAAAAGATTGAAGAACCAATTTTAATATTTACCAGGAAAGTTGACATCAACAAATAAAGATTATAATGGGAATAATATCAAATAAAGAAGTATATTTTAACAACAAATAGCTCTTCTTTACTTGGACTTAGTCTTGTTTGATATGTTAAGATGGCTTCCAATATCAGAAAAATGTTTTCCTGTACAGTGTCATGTCTTCCTGTGGACTCTTACCTTGTGAACTATCATGTTAACAAAAAATCTGTCAAAGCCTGTTCTTGTAGTGCAAAGCAGGGATATGACTCATTGGCACTCATACCACATCTTCTTATTTATATTTATATATGAGGCAACTTAAAATGATAAAAAAATGAAATATTTGTCATGCTTAAAAGAAAGAGTCAAAGAAATGTAATTAGTACTTGAGTTTTATTTACCTAACTATCCTATATTTTTTATAGGTATGTGGAGCCTGAATTGATATGGTACTTTAAATACAGAAATAAAAGGATTTCCAGGATAACGACAAATTCAACATGGCTTCTCGGTATAACGGACATAAAGACAAGGATGATTATGACGATTATGATTACAGTGATTCATTTGTTAGTGATGAGGATGACGAGAGTGTCAAGAAACATTCGCCCCCAACTCGAAAAGTAGCACAAGGTGAGAGAAACATCAATATACATAACTCTAATCATTTAAATGCATCAGCTTTGATCAAGTTTCAAAGATGATTTTATGTGTCACTACTTTCTAAATTGTGTCATGAATTAATGCGAAATTGCATCATCAAAACAACCATAGATTGTAAACAATGGCTAAATCAGAGTATAATTTAATTTACATCATGTACATGATTTTTTATTTTTATTTTATTAAGACATTTTAAACATGTTAAAGAAAGGTATTTGTAAATGCATCCCAATAGGCATGATATTTAAATGATAATCAATGTCAGCAAAGATCAAATGAAAGATAAACAAGGTACACTCAACCATACAAAATGGTAAAAGGTGGAGCCGCTTTGAGTAAAAGCTATCAAAGGAAAAGAATCCACATACATATATATATATTTATAAATTATTTATGATTTTAGTCAAGATACATTGGCAATAAGATGATTAGAACCATGTATGCGAAGTGCTATTTTCAGACCGAATTTTGGTAATTAGTATAGACAAGGTTTCTGTGAATTATTAAATAACAGTCCACAAATACACTATGTACCAGTTGGCAACGTTTGATACATTTATCTTACAGTTATGTTAATACTCTACAGATCTGGCAACTGTATATCATGTTTTGATATTTGTTGTCATAATCCTGTTGTTCATACAGAACTGTGAAAATGAATCCCTTTTTATTTTTGACAGTAACAGCGAGGAAGAAGCCTCCGACTAATAGAGGACACAAAGGGAGAATATCGAGCAGAGCGACGGCTCAGTCACAGGAACCTAAATTAGACAATGCTGTCCAGAGAATGTTGTCGTCCAAAAACTTACGAATTAATGAATTAAAAAATCAACTTCAAGATTTCCGGATACATTTGGATGAAATGAAAGAAGAGAACAAATTGTTACAGAAAACACAAAAAAGACAAGAAAAGGCATTAGGGAAGTTTGAAAATGAGGAGAGTGATTTACCACAGCTAATGCAAAGACATAACAATGAAGTGAGAACTTTACGGGAACAGTTGAAAAAAACACAGGATAAATATCAACGAACAGACCGATACCTAAGGGATGCTGAGGACGAGCTAGATAAAACTAAAAATAAACTGAAAAAATATAAAAATCTTGCCGAAGACAAAAATCTTTTGGAAAGACAGGATTTACAAAAGAAAGTACAACAAGCCGAAATAGATTTAGAAGAAAGGGATGTTAAAGTTAGGGTAAGAATTATTTACTTCTGGTTACATTTTTTTTTTCTATATTTACTATTAATATGCTTAGAGATCTGATAACCATAGACTATTCATAATGTGTATTATTTTGACCTTAATTTGAAAGACAGAACTCTGATGTATTGATTTGACCATTATTTAAGAGATGGTCCAGTGAAGCATATCTTGTAGATTTTGGAATTCTGTACATTATATAAAAATAAGTAGATGTAATATGATTGCCAATGAGACAACTCTCCACCAGAGACCAAATGACGTAGACGTTAACAACTATAGGTTACTGTACGGTCTTCAACAATGAACAAAACCCATACCTCATAGTAAGCTATAAAAGACCCTGAAATGACAAATGTAAAACAATTCAAATGAGAAAACTAATGTATAGTTAAAGAAAAGAGTATACATGTAGTATGAAATACTATAAAATTTGTATGTAGGACTCTGAACTGTGATAGTCCCGCTGATGTGCGATGGTTTGAAGCTGGAGTGCGTTAGTCACGCCGAAGTGTGATAGTGGCATTGTGACGCTATCTTATTGATAGCTACACCGAAGTGCGATGGTGGTAGCACTGAAGTGCGATGGATTACATAAATCATTTTTCAATGATTTTCTTGTTCACATGTCGAAGTCAATTTGTTAGTTAGAAGTAGTTTTTCTGTATTTTTTATGTAAAACATCGAGAGTATATCCCGTTTGATTTAAAACAGTCATGATAAATAGTCATATTACATTTCCAGTCCTCACTGTATCTCTGTAGTGTAGTGTACACTGTTCTTTGTAAGTAGCTTGAACAAAAAAAGCAGTCGTTAATATATATATATAATCGTTCAGAAATTGATGCTACATACAAAAGCTTTTTTCCTTAAAACCAGTTCTAATACAAATACTTCTTGGTTAGTCAGAACAAAACAAAATAAGCGAAAAATCTATACGGCTGATGTGAATTAGTACAAGGAATGAGATAAATCACCGATTTTTTTTACCGCACCTGGAGAAAATATTGAATATTTGGTATTTATATACAAACTTTTAAAAAAATTCAAGCTTTCATAATAATTGGACATCTGTAGATTTTAAACTTGCATCACGGGTCTTATAGACCATCACACATCAGCAAAAGGACCATCACCCTTCTGAGCAGATCATCGCACTTCAGCGTGACCTTCATACCTCAGCATCCCCATCGCACCTCCAACTCCTACGTATATATAGACTAAAATTTTTAGAAAAAAACATCTAACTATTCATGTATTGTCAGACTTGCAAATAACAAAATCCCTGGTACTGTAGTTCCAAAAATTTAAATTATAAAGCTTTTAAGGGCTTATAATACAGTACGTAGCAGGAGAAGATAATTACTGATCCATGTTTTACATGTTGTCCGAACATTGTTTATATTATGCTTCAGAATTTCCCAGTAAACACACTGACATCATCAAATAAGCTTACTGTCACAGATAGTTACAGGACTTCACAACAATTTCATCTTTTTTACCTTTCAACTAGGCGACTACATTCAAAGCCTACAAACTAAGATACACTTAACAAAAAAGGGTGAAAATATCTTTTTTTGTTTGAAAGTTTTTGAAAACTAAAAATTTGTGTTATTATATCAAATAAACCAAAATTAATCTAAAATAATATCTTTAAAATTAAGTCATGAAGGTATATTTTTCTTTGCATATGCCGATATTGCATATGAAATAGTTTTAAGGTGAAAATCCCTTTAGTATGTTGTACATGGTGGCTTGTTCAATTGTTTTTCCTGCAGTTATCATGGAAACCAAACCTTTTATCCCTGAATGTTCATCTTATATTTGATCAGGTGATATCATTATCACAGGTATTTTCTGATCAATGATACAACTGATGATCAATAATTTCTCTTGTCATTAATTTTTTACATTCAATCTTCGATAGTAATTCCCAGCAATTTGTTAACGTTATTATCACTATCTTGTACATTAATCATTGAACATGCAATTTCTATGGTCATGGGAATAAAATTTTGTTGTGAATTTATTATTTAGGAAGTTTACGATGTTGATAGTAAATGTTTTTGGAATTATAGTGACACCTGTACTAGAAATATGCTAGTATGACATGTACAAAGTATTAGAATTTGTCAATGGGCCAATACACAATAGATTTTTATAACAATCAATAACGAAGGTTTTGACCCCTGGGGTATTCAACCATATTTATCTTTATTGAGTGCCATTAAATAATCCTATTATAACTATTAAAGACAAGGGTATTATCTGGACAGATCTTTGTTGTGGTTTTAAAAGTCACCTAAATAATGTGAAATTGATGATCGTTTATAAACAAATTTGAAGTCAATAGCCATCACAAAAATTCTAAGTCATATTATCAAAAGAAAATTAAACTATTTTATTGAAACAGACAAATGATGCTATTTAACCTTACTGCTAAGGAAAATACCTCTATGGAATATATAAACTTTTTTTTTAAAGTAGATTTCTAACCACTTTCTATTGGAAACTTTAACAATAAAAGGTGTCAATTATTTTACTGTAGTTTTGTTTTACATGTTTTAGCAGAACCCTAATTTCATAATCCTTTATCCAATATCAGACTCATAATGATGCACATGTAATACAAGGAAGAATTTAAACAGACCAGATAAACCATTTCTTGCAAATCCAAATTGCATGTCAGACATATCGTAAAATGGATGAGGCCTTAGATTTATTTCGCATTCTCACCATCCACACATTTTTGGTGGATACCTTATAGCTATTTCCCTGTTAAAAGTACCAAGTCTTACACAGGCGCAGGCTTGAACAAGGGAGGCTGAAATTCTCAGAGCTATCAAATGAAGGATTGGCACAATTAACATGTATAATTATATAAGCATGATAAGAATGATGTTTTGAGAGTTGAGTAAGAGAGAAACCTTTTTACAAAGTTCATATGCTTTTTTGTTTCCCCCTGTTTACTACTGTTTACTATTATAAACATGATATTTAATGATATGAATAGATACATGTACGTTTGTTATTTGATGTTTCTTTTCTGTATAGGATTTAGAGAAACATATCAATCATTTAAACAAGAATCATCGTCATGAGTTAGGAATAGAAATAGCACGCCACCGAGATTTTCAGCGACAGATGGAAGGTTTACGGAATGACAACGAAGAATTACAGAATAGATTAAAGGTTTGTTAAGTAATCTTTCTTATATAATTTGTATCAGGTTTGGTATTTATATATATATATATTAATAAAAAGAGATGTAGGATGTACATAATGGAGACAGCAATGAAACACAACTAACTAAATAACCTCCAGAGGTCAACATACAGTCTTCCACAGGTACATGTATCTATATGTACACATGAGCAGATATATATGTATTTACTGCAGGGAAAAAAAAAGAAATAGAATGATATGGAATGGTTTTTCACATTCATAAAATACAACACCTAGCTTAAATATATGATGTATTTCACTACCAGATGTGTATATATGAAGGACTCTGAATCGCAAAGGTACTCCGAACCATGATGGTCATGCTGATGTGCAATGGTTTGATGCTCAAATGTGTTTTTGATCATGCTGAAGTGTGATGGTGGCATTGTGACGCTATCTTGTGGATAGCTACGCTGAAGTGCAATGGACTACATAGACTATACTTTCAATGCTTTGCATTTCGATGTAGAAGTCAATTTGTTTGTTAGAAGCAGGTTTTTTTTCTGGTTTTTAAGTTAATAAGGGGCTTATAAACTTTTTAATACTACGGGAAATGGGGAGTAATTGGTGCAGAGGGAAAAGTTAACCTTCTGTAGTAGATTTTTTTTTAAATCTACAGAAGGTAAACTTTTTATTTACAATGCAGTGTGGCATTCTTTAAATACATACTGGTCCTCAGATAGATTCTCCGTATTATAATATCAAGATAAACGAGAACTCATGAGAGGAACCAAGTAAATGTTAACACAGAAATATGTTCACATGCAGGAAATCAGAGAGGATGATCTCTCACTTAGCATGCAACTGTATCTAAGGACATAGATAGACAATAACGTATACTTGCAAATTTATATACTAACCATTAAAAAAACTGTTTCACATGATAGTTGAACATCTGTAGATTTTAAACTAACCATCATGCGTCATATAGACCATCGCTCATCAGCAAACGGACCATCACACTTCAGGGAGACAATCGCACATCAGTGTGGGCATCACACTTCAGCATCCCCAACTCACCTCCGAGTCCTACATATATATGGAGAAAATACAAACAACCATTAGAAAATTTTTATGACAAAACAACACATTATAGCACAATGTCATGAACTATTTAGTTATATTGGTCATGAAATGTCCACACAGGTATCAGTATAGACAAAATATAGAAAAAAAAACTCTCAAAATCATATATTTCCTGAAAAAAACATTTTCTTTCCTTTTCACAGATAGCCATGGTTCAAATGTATTTCGTCAGTTATAGAAAGTCATAGTAATGTCAGAATGATATATGTGTTGTGTATAGTTATGTTACTTTATAGAAGTGTTGGACAGTAAAATATATATGATTTTGAATGGTTTTTATAGATTTGAAATTTGTTAAATTTATCTTTCCAGGAAAAAGTAAAAGCTGTTGAACTAGCAAATATTTACAGTTTACGGAAAGGTAAAAAATTACCTGCCTCATATAGTGGGACTCCAAACAGAACGCCACCACCAGGACGTAGAAAACGTAATCCATCACTACATGAAATTACACCTAGAGAGAAAATGAAAATGTTTGAGGACAAACGGAAAGAAGAGGAACGTCTTCAAAGAGAGGTAATTTATTTTTAGTGTTCTGAATCCTGTTTATATGCAGTACTATTGTATTTATAAATCTCTTTACATACATTTGTTTGGGCTATAAACCTGTTTGTCATATTTTAATCTCATAGCAGTGTGTATTAGAATTTGTTCACTCTTGAATCTAAAACGAAGATAGAATTTCATGTAAAATAATATTATTTAAGCAATTTTGATAATCTTACAGCAGGTTTCCTTAGAGTTTTTGAGACACATTTTGAATTGGCATAGCTCAGTCATAGCAAACTGAAAAAGTTTTATGCTATCAGTTTCATGAACCAATTTAGAATTTTTGTGTATCAATAAACCTAGCAGAGTTTATAGGCATTTTGTCTGTGAACCCTTGCTTTGACATATTGCAAGTTATAACATCTTTAGTTTTCATCTTACTGTTAAATAGACATCAGATATTGTAAATGTACAAATGAGTAATAGGGCTTTGTATCAATGTTTACAGATGTATTGGAAAGTAAAAGAGGTGGGTTGATGAATTTTGTATGTTTCATGGTCAAGGGTGTCTTAAGTTTGTTTTATGGTGTTCCAGGTGTATGCAATCAAAGTTTTAGTGTGGGAGTAGCTGCATTTTCAAAATATTTTACAGTTCCCTCTAATGCACTTTTAGTTTTTCAGTTACAAATACATGACATGGCGATTATTTTGAGTAGAATGTAGTATATCACTTTATGTATGATGTTTTACCAATGATTTTATATGGTGATACACGGTACAATGGTTGTGATTTTTATTTTGTTTCACATTATTAGAAAGGGAGATAATTCACATGGTTATTTACATTCAGTGTCACTGTGTGTGGTGTTGTACACATCTTATAACCCCATTCCTTCCTCAGCTTTGTGTATTTTTTATATATTGCACAGTTTCAGAGAGGTGATGGACCTAAAATGGCTTTCCAAACAGCAGGAAGTAGTAATAGAAGTATCCATAAACACACAGACTCTAAAAAACAGACAAATCTTACCTATAGATCATCACATAATAACAGTTTTGATAAAGACAGAGAATTAGATAGCAAAAAATCTAGCAATGACCTGAACTCCTCCTATAATAAGGGACATAGTGAGACAAATTATAGTTCTGAACCTCCTGGTTATGACTATAGTACTACACAAGAGGTACACACTTTGTTTGATGTTGTGTTAACGTTGTACCACACACACCCCTGTTTTGTTTTGTTAAGTTGTCACCAAATGTTAAGTTATGCATGTATAGTATTGAATTTACATTTATGTTGAAGAGTTTGGGAAACAAATATCTTTTGTAGTTAAATGTAAATTTTTCCTTTTTTTTTACAAAATTTTAAGCACTTAAAACTTACCCACCAGTCGTGTATATAATTATATGGGAATTTGTTTAACATTTCAGTTCCATATGAGACTAAGAAAAGTCAGTTCAGTTTACTTTATATATAGATTATGCATGAAGCTATTTTCTTTCAACAAATTCTTTATTGTTTTGCATGAACAAAATTGCACACGTCAGGATTTGTTTTATTATTGTTTTAATATTGCTGGAATCATATGTAATGTATCAGTTTCATACGTTTTGGGGAAGTGGGAGAGGGGAGGCAAGGAGGTTAAGCATTAACAGTATTTTTTTTTCACTTTGACTTGCAGATAATAAGTATTTTCTTATTTCACTCCAAGATTTTTTAATCCTATATTTACTAGCTAAACAGAAATTCCGAGCAAGGTGTTTTCTCCAAACCCATGATGTTTGGGAGTAAACAGAAAGGACAGATTGATCAGGTAGTTCCTGGAGTGCTGTGCAGAGTTTTGTCCCCTGTCTTTTGTGTTTTGATGTCTTACGAGTATTTTATGTTCCAGAGCTTAAAAATCTATGTGCAGTTTGATACAAACTTTAATACATATCATATCTTTTTGTTTTATCTTGATTCAAATAAAATTTTTGAGCTACCACAAAACTTTTTCAAGCTGGTATATATTAAGTGCATAAAAAACAGTATCAGGGGGAGATAATATGGTTTTCAAATTTTATGATGACACTAATGATAGGTATCCAATATTTGATGAAAACATTCAGAATTTTAAGGCAGTCGCAAGGAAAATTGGACTTCATTCATAAAAGCAGATTGAATCCACAATATTGAGATTTTGGTAACTATGAGTGTATCGGTTAGTTCCAATATGAGACAGTAACTTCTATAACATTGTTCCTATAAGTCGGCAAAATAATACTTCTGCAGAATATGTGTTTCCAATTGATAAGTGTAAAAAAAGTGGAAGAGACAAGGTGTTTGCTTAAAGCTGAAAAAAGTACTCATTCAAGAATGTTTTTCAAAATTTATCGCAAAAACATAAATACTATATTATTTTTTTTCTGAGTGAATACGGAGTAATCTGAAAATTACCAACACACTTGACTTCTTCTGTGATTATATGAATTTACCATAACCAGATTCTACCGATAGTCTTCAACTTGATATCAAAATATAATATCTATCAACTAAGAAACATTTAAGGCATTTGAAATGTTATATTTTTACTTAAAATATGCCAAAATCAGACTAAAATATCTATAATAGTAAGCTAAGGGCTGGTAATCTTTGCATATAAATTTGAGAGTGCATATAAAAATATGATTTGTGACCAATGAATTTGTGGAGAAAAAAAATAAGCATTATCAATTTTGTATCATTTGCCCTTAATTTAACATTTTCAATTAAATATTTGCCTATTACTTTATTGCCATTTCGTTCTATGTTTGTTCATCATAATCATATGTGCTTTATAGATAAACAGGAATTCTGATGAAGGAATTTTCTCAAAGCCAATGTTGAGCAAGCAGAGAGAGAATAACCCCTATCAGCTTTCTTATGAAAAGGTAGCATTGGTTTAGTAAAGAAAACTTTTCTAAGCAAGTGCTAATTATTTTTAAAAAGTGCTCTCATTTTAAATAGATATATTTAAGAATATTTGTTTTTCAATCCTTTTACTATCAGCATTACACATGGTCTCTGTCAATCTGTACTTTGTTGTCTATTGTTTTAATAATGTTGTCAATTAATAAAAAGGTTATAGCATTAAGTTTTTATTGAAAAATAATTCAACTGCAACCCATTCAATGAGATTTTTCTGTGAAATGAAATAATTAACTTACATGATTGACATGACACTATGAAGAGATTAGGATGAATGATAATAGATACATTCCATTTTCTGCAGAAAAAGGAGAAGTACTCTGATCAATCATCAGTATTTTCCAAACCTCCCTTATATAGGAGGGGAGATAACTCCAGCAGTTACCCAGACAAGGTATTCCTCCAGAATCACAGATTTGATTGGATGACTGTACACTGTGCTATAAATAATGAATGTTATAACATGTATTACACTTTCAGGATTTCCATTGCAGTGTGACACATTAACTAATTTATAAGAATCTTTGTTTGCAGCATTTGTCTACTAGTTGTAATTTGTTTGTGAATAGAAAATCTAGATAAAAAACTACAAGTGGTTCTTTTGGTCTTGTTGCCTGCCATCTTATCAAAACTAGAAAGCTTGAACTTTTATGGAAATGGAAAAAAAGTCCTTTAGAATTTTCAATGATACCCCTTAAGCATAATAGATATAATAGAATTTAAAGAAAAAAATCAGTAAGCAGCCTCTGAACCTTGATTTTTATCCTAGTGCAATATGAAATATATATATGTTTGTGGAATACTTAACAATAGTGTGTTTTGTCAGAAAAAAATGAACAAATTGTACTTGAAATTTGTAGAATTTATTTGACCTTCAGATGATTTATTTGGCAAATGAAATTTTTCCATCAGTTTCCCACTAGATGTCAATTTTCTCCTCATTGAAATTGGTTAAAATGTATTTGGTAATGTGATTATTAATTATCTTTTAAGAAAATATCGTGTTCCTGAAATGTGTATACAGTTAATATTTAAGAAAATGTTTAGTCTCAATGTTTGCATGCAAAAGCCTGCATTTTTGAAATCAGATTTGCCACTATTTCTTAGCACTGCATGATAAATTATAGAAAAATCCCTTGTATGTTTTAGAATCCCTGCATGCTCCTTAATATTTAACAGTGATTCATGTAAAACTACTAAGTAAGTCCTATTCACCAGCATATGACTTTTAACTCCTTTTTTAAAATGGATCTTTATTTACTGAACATTACTACAAAATTGATCTTATGACCGTAATCCAACACAATTATCAGTAGAAAAAAGTAGACTAGGAACAGATGAATATGATAAAAAACTAAGCAGTACTTCATCATTTCATTGGCAGAAAAAACACAGGACTGGCCGTCACAAAGAAAAAATCAGTGCCAATCCGATCTTCCTAACAGAAAGCAATGAATACAGTCCCTCTCAACCAAACACTGATAGGCCACCTAAGGTATCGCTGTGTTCTATAGTCTTCCTGTCACTAATAATTAGTTTATAGTTCTTGCATGATCCTCTCTTTCTTGTTCTGCTTTGATATAATAACAAGCCTTGTCAGTTCTTGTTTTATTTGTTTGTATTTTTGTCTGTTATTTTCCCCAACTTTGATATGTAACCATCTGCTGTTTGAAATTATTCATGTACATATAGCAATATATCTATAATGTAGCTTTTTAACATAGTGCAAAATGTACCCAGCATTCTATTTCATTTTTGTCTCGCTACAGTGAAAGTTGGGAATTCTTATTTTGTCTTCCCTAATATAATCATATATTGTAAATGGATGCATCAGACATGTAAAAAAAATTCATCAAAGATACCAGCCTTATAAATTTGGACGGCAGACATACATTTAGTCTACAAAAGACTCATCAGTGAAACTCTAATAAAAAAAGTAAAAAGACAAAAAGTCCAAAGTTAAAATGCATTCAGAATTCTGAAAGGTTTTGCCAAAAGTGAATATTCTTAATACGATGAGTTTATTTTTAAACTTCCACTGTACCTCCTGTGTGTTTTTATTTTTAGTCTCTTGAATATTATCCATTTGTAGATGTGATTAGATTTGTCAGATATACCCATAGGTATTTAACTATAACTTGATAGTAACCAGTAGTACAGTATCCTGTGTTGTCACTGTACATAGTATACCTGTAACACTTCTATAGTGTATATAGTAGCTTTATTACTCTGTGCATTCACTCTGCTATCACTATTTCAGCTCAGATTGTGTCAATTTTATAGATTTAATGTTAGAATATAATAAATAGCAGAATATGTCTTTCAGCTTTAGGTCACACATCCGTTCCTGAAGGAGCATTAATAAATAATCTAAAAGACTTTGTGCAAACAATTATGAATATAATATAATGAAATTGAATAGGTATCTAGCTTTAGCTTTCGGTTGATCAAATGAAAACATAACATTCTGTGTATAATGACATGTTTAGCTCATTGAAATCAACTGTGTAAAACATAGGTAAATGGATCTTGTGTCTTGGAGTATTTTTTATTAAATCGGCCTTGAATCCCCCGAGTTAAATTGTAACCCTGGTAACCCCTGTTGGCTCCCATTACATATCACAACATCCAAGGACTATCATTCAGAGACTAATCACAACAAAATATCAGATCCAAAGGAATTAGAAGTTCGGGCCATAGAAATTGTATATCACAATTCATAAAACAGAAAGATAAGATTTCTGTTCACTATCGTAAATGTCAGTAGAACAAGATTTTGATTTTGCTTTAGATCATCAAATCTCACTGATGAATAATTGATTGAACTATATAAATTGTTACGATGTTTATTCAGCTTTGTCAAACATATAGGTGATACTGGATTGTATACAGAACTAATCCACTATGGATGAATTTAGGGTTAATTACCGGCTATTTTATATTTTGTCTAGTTATTGTTTTATTTCTGTAAAATTAGTGAATGGTGTAATTTAGCTGTTGTTTTAATACTGATGAAACTGCATGCAATTGTACTAGTACTTCAATGTAGCTTATTGTGTTTATAGCTTTTGTAATTTATTTATATTTCAAAATCCGAAATATTTATAATTCCCAGTAGATCAATGTGACAATTCTCTTATATTTTGAATCTTTTTTTTCAGCAACAAGAAAGACATAAGAGGGATAGAGAGGAGCAGCTTAGACAGAGGGCAGAGGAGGATGATCGAAGGAGACAGAGGGAGCGTGATGAACAAGAAATGAGGGAATTAGAACAATTAGAACAGGAGAGAAGACAGAGGGAGTCTCGGGATAGGGAGGAACAGAGGAAACGGGACCAGGAAGCAGAGGAATGGATGAAGAAAATGGAGGTTGAGAAACGGCAAAGGGAGTCTGAAGAACATAGAGTTAGAGACGAACAGCAGAGGAAGGAAAGGGAAGAAAGAGAAAGACGAGACAAGGAAAGGCATGAACAGGAAAGAAGAGCAAGAGACGAAAAAGATAGAATGGAAATGGATGTTCAGCTTGCAGAGGAGAGAATGAAAAAAGATGAATTACTTAAGAAGTTAAGAATGATTGATGAAGGACAGAACAAACGGGAAGAAAAGAAAACAACAACAGGAGGAAATGAATTGTTTTTTGTTACTTCTAATAAACAGAGGCGTGACAGCGATGCGGGGTCTGCCACGTCAAGTAAGAAAAGTAGTTATTCATTCACTAAACCTGTTGAAAATATGCATCACGGTAAACCTGCAAGGGAAGACGTTACAGTTCCTTACATAGAACGTCAGAAAAAGCAGCAAAATTCACCTCCTGTGGGTGGCTACCAGCCATCATTTGGGATGAGTAGCGGGATAACTGGAGGTGGTAAAAAGACTAAAAAATCTACTGGGCAGGTGATCTTTGATGATTATGACAAAGATGACAAAGCTAAGAAACCACCACTAAACAAAAAAGCGGACTTAATGTCAGAACTGTTTGGAAATCAGGCGAGTAAACCAACAAAGTCCACTGATTTAGATAGTAGTGAGGATGTTTTCAAACCGCCTGTAAGGACAACTAAAACAACCGCAACAAAAACATCAGGTTTTCCCTGGGATGATGATAGCAAAAAATCAACTACAACAATATCAAAAAATGAACGAGCATCGTCATTGTTTGGAGGTGGTGGCAGTGGTATATTAGACGATAATGAATCATCTGTGTTCGATTCAACGAAAATGTTGCCAAAGAGAGGCAGGCAACCAAACACAACATTTCAGTCAAAGCCAGCTGTTTCTGCAATAGACCATTCCCATTTCGATGATGATATTGAAGAAGTTATTTTGTAGTGACTAGGTTCTCAATGAAATAGAAAAATTCAGGGAAATATTATAGCTAGAGTGTTGATGCAAGTTTGAAAAAGTTTAAATTCAAGAAGATTTCTTGAGAGTATGATGTACCTTTCCAACAAATCAGACTTGTCATTCACAAGGAAACAGAAAAAGCAGTCATCTGACAGTGACCTGAAATGGTGTATAGAGCATGACTCATAACAAGCATTATTAAACCAAGATCTACTAGAGAAAGGCCAAAATGTGACAATGAGAAATTTGTGCATTCATAAACTAGGTTAATGTGTGGTAAAATTTCTGACAGCATAAATTTGTTTTCATTAGAAAGTAAGAAAATAACAACATGACCATCATGTTGATTAAAATTTATTACAATCATGTAGGTACAAATTTCGATTTCGAGTACATACATTTTGTAGCTAAATTTGTACATATATTACATGTTGGAGGAATTTGTCTCAGTAGACAGTATATATATGATAGCTACTTTTTGCCACTGAAAATTATCACATGTTTTTAAAATGTATGAGGGATAATCATTGTATTATCAGAATGATAACCCTGATTAATTTGAATGAGAAACTTTAAGATCATGCTAAATTTTTGAAATAATTATGAGAGTGATCAGCATGATGGAAACAAATGATAACAATAATTCACAATCTAACGTCATAGACATGCACACAGTAGATATGTTATTCAAATAAACACCACTTTAGGAATGTTTTTTACCAATTTGATTTTTCAAAGGTTAATCATGTTAATAGGTCAGAAAGTCGGCCGAATAAATAAGTGAAAATCAAATCAGAAGCAAGCTTTTTTGGAAAACAATGACTATAAGCTCTGTTGGAAATTTCTGAAATTTGCCTTACTGTGGACTTAGTTTTGTTTGTCACTCACTTTAAATAATCTTGGTTTATGGGAAAAATATCTTTTTTATGGAGTTATAAATTTGCTGTGTGAGACTCTGTGTATTTAAAAAATTAACAGTATAAGCATAGCATTTGGTCAGGTGTGGTCTTGTGAAATCATGATGGCCACAGATATTGTTTCCTATGATTACAGGTGCCATCATCATGATTTCACTGTACCCTTATTTGAAGTTATAAGTACTGGTATGAAATAAATATATTAACAATGGGATTTTTAAAGAGCCAAAAAGTTCAAAAATAAATTTGCATAGGAAGAAGTGAGATGGAATGATTTTCCTCCATGTGTATTTATGTGTAGCGATCACCTGACCTATATCTTGTACATGAACTTTCTTCTTACAGAACGGAATAATTACTGGTACTTTCTGCAATGCAATGCCATAGTTTATAATGTATACATAATTTTAACAATTCTGCAATTTCCTGTGAAAGTAATGACATATTTTTGGCTTGAAAATTCTTCAGACAAACAGATACATTATACAGATTTCAAATAGTGGTAATTTATAAGATGAAACTTGACAAAGTACTGGTATCATTCTTAGATAAGGAAAAACTAACTATTTCTATTTCTAGGTGGAGCTTATACTGGTACTAGCACAAAAATATAAAAAAGTTTATAGTAGCTTTTAATAAATATATATAGTAGCAAAATCAAATATAGCAGTGACTGTAATTGTGCCAATTATAAAAGTGATAGTCATATATATAATAACTACAGTAATAGTAATAGAATGTATGTACATGTAATAATGCTGGAGTTTGTTGATATAATTAGACAAGTCTTGTCATTCGACTTACTTAAACATAAATAAGTAAAACATATTAACCTAGATTGAGAAATTCTTATACACTTATTCAATGTATAGGAATAAAAAAATTAAATGTTGGTGCTCTCATTTAAGGATTTCAGAAAAAAGATTATTTTTTATGGATAAAAAGCTCAAATTATCTTATCAGAAATGGCATTGTAATACTGTGCTTCATACATTTTATAGGAACAAAAATTGTAAACATTCTACTTAAAAACAAGACTTTTTACAATATAATGTAACTTAAGTTGTAGCTTTTGATAAACATTTAGTGGTGCTACAGTTTTATTTGAAGCTTGCTTCCTTGTGAAGATTATCTGTATATCTAAGTGCTATGGAATAAAATTGCAGCAAGTTTGTAATGAACAATTATTTATTTATTTACTCTTGTTAAATTATGTTTGTTTATTTTGATTTTGTTGTCATGGTGTATGTCTGTATTGATTGAAATTAGTGAATTGTCTCCCCTTCCATACAGATATTTTTTTTTGAAATTATGAAAGTGATTAATAAAACTTGATCTTACTTATAATTTCTAACATCAACAAATTTTCCAATGTATTGTTAATATAATTAAGAAAGATATATCAGAAGGAATATATCTATTCTAAGGGGAGATAATTACACGTTAAAAGTTCACAAATTAGGAGCTGTAAATTATCTGTTCTGGATCTATTAAAATCAGCATATTATATGTATGACACCTGCAGTTTTTAATTGACAGTTTATAAAAAAAAAATCATCTTGTAAAAATTGATTCTTCATTGAAGGATATTTCTAGTTTATTGACAAATGCACATTACAATACATGAAGGAAAAAACTGAAATGACTTATTGATTTTGCTTTCAAAAGAAAAATCTGTATTTAATATTGATTTATAATCTGAAGTAAAAAATAGACAACTGTTTTACACTGTTATAAGTTTCAACATGTTTACAGTCAAAATAAAAATCCAATTTGATTTGAAGTCTGCCTAGATAATTTACAGTACCTAACTGACATTTACTTTCTTTCATGTGTACACATTGTTTTTAAGTTAATGACCTGTTTTATTTATGTAAATATGTAACGTCTGTGATATAGAAAGGGATTCCGTCCTGATTTGTCTTTGCCATATTGTCATGACATTAATCAATGTTCCTATTTGTTCAATTTTAATTATTTTTTTTATGATCTTGTTAAACTTTTATCTGCTTATTTTTTGTATGTTACGTCCAGAACAAATCTTAATTGCAATAATATCTCACAGCGGGTTTGAAGATCTGAATGTTATAAATTGTTCTATCATTTCATCATCTTAAGTTGAAATTGTTTTAAATTTTTATGTGTTTTAAATCGCCATGTCTCCAACTCGAAATTGTGTTTAAAACTGTAAAAATTATACACGACTTAATTTTCCAGAGGTTTTTATGACAAAATATTACTTCTATTTCCAAAAGCACAACTAATGACCCATGTTATCACTTCGAATATAAATTTAACCATTTCTTAAAGGTAGATTTTGAAGTGTTATAAGCGACTGAAATCACAATTTTGTTTTTATTTAACTCATATAGTCTTTATAGCATCAAAAATTGAATTTTTATGACTCAATATCACAAAAAAATGTAAATATGAAATTTTGAATTGCATTTATGTGTGCCTCATTATGCACATGTGGAGGGTAAATACACTTTTAATATACCTTAATACACATTTTGTAATCCTTGAGAATCATAGTATGCTTTAAAGAACATTTAGAAAGATTCTATAGTAAATTGTCACTTCTTGTGTGTTTTATGCTAAAGTATCTGATGATGCCCTACAAATGAGGAGGCATGCTATTCATTTATCAATCAAATTAACATCATTTCAGAAGGATTGAAGAATTTGACTTTTTTTTAAACAAAATAAAAAAATATATATTGTAATTTAAGACTGTCTTTGTCCATTGCCTGTAGTCAATCTGCAGTACATTAGAACATTTATCAAGATATATGTTTTGGTAATAAAGTAATGTAGAATTAACCTTTATAGTCAATTAAAAAAAAAATATTCCAAACTTTAATTAACTAGCTTATTTCATTTATAAAACTTTTTAGTGTGCCTAAATATGATAAATAGTGCAAGGAAAATTTGAAATCACATAAACAACATATTATCAGATGGCATTGCAATTCTTTTTACTTGAATACTTACTGGGTTGGAGGGGGGAGAGGGGGTTATAACTTAAAACTACATACAAAGTCTTTAGTGAAAGTCATATTTCACCAACAATAACTTTAAATATTTTATATGAATAAATCAGATTGAATGTTAACGAGATTTAGTGACATTTTTGTCCAAGTCTAGTTATGTTGAGACACAATCAACCTCAAACATATCCAGATATTTTACAATGATGTTTTATATTTTTGTACATGTTTTATATGTGTATGTGAGTAGAGTCATTACACAATCTACAAAGGACCAACATTTTCATTGTCTAACATCATAACGATAATCATGACATTATGAAGATATATAATAAAACAACAAATTAATTTATTTAGTGTTTTTCTTTTTTGACCTTTATTGCCAGAGGCAAGAGCAGGACTAGTTACAACTTTACTACATATGCTAATAATTTTTATGCCCCCGCCATAGCGGTGGGGGCATTAAGTTTTACCCTTGTCCGTCTGTACGTACGTACGTACGTCCGTCCGTACGTCCCAAAATTGGTTTCCGTTCTCTAACTTCAGTTTGCCTCAACCAAATGTAATGAAACTTATACACAATGCTTATTACCACAAAACACAGATCAAGTTTGAATTTTGGTGGCGTCACTTTAACCGTTCTAGAGTTATGCCCCTTTATAAATGGAAAAATTGCAAAATTTTTAGTTTCCGTTCTCTTACTTAAGTTTGCCTCAACCAAATGTTATGAAACTTATACACAAGGCTTATTATCACAAAACACAGATCAAGTTTGAATTTTGGTGGCGTCACTTTAACCGTTCTAGAGTTATGCCCCTTTATGAATGGAAAAATTGCAAAATTTTTAGTTTTCGTCCTCTAACTTAAGTTTGCCTCAACCAAATGTTATGAAACTTATATATAATGTTTATTATCACAAAAAACAAATCGAGTTTGAATTTTGGTGGCGTCACTTTAACCATTCTAGAATTATGCCCCTTTATAAATGGAAAAAATTGCAAAATTTTTATTTTCTTCTAAATATCAAGTTATTTTTAAAATTGGAGTTATCTTCCTTTGTCCATGATTATAGTTGAATCAACTACAATCAATGCTTTATACAATGCAATGTTTAATTTTGACTTCCACTGATAAAACACAGATCAAGTTGAATTTGGGTAGTGTCACTTTAACCATTATTGAGTTATGCCCCTTTATGAATAGAAAAATTGCTGAATTTTTAGTTTCTGTTCTCTACTTAAGTTAGCCTCAACCAAATGTTATGAGACTTACACACAAAACTCAGATCAAGTTCAAATTTGGGTAGCGTCACTTTTACTGTTCTTCAGTTATGTCCCTTTATAACTATATGATATGCAAGCGGGGGCATCATCTGTGTCCACATGTGGACACTATCCACATTTATTTGTTCTTGCCTCAATCTGAAACATATATTATAGGGTACCTAGTTTGAGTGATCTTTAATGCCTACAGTTTACCTCCAAAGATTAAAGATAAACACCTCTTACTTTGGACAGATTTGGAACATTTTTGTTGTTGAATGTTATTGAGAGTATGTATTTTGTCATCTGCAATCAGTCTTCACGATAAACTTTTGAATCTACAGGCCCAAAGCTGAATTTTACAAATTTTTTAGTTAGATTCTATTGGCCTGTAGAGTTGATTTTTACAGGCCCAACCGCAATTTTACAAGCCTGGGCTGGTGGGCCTGTGGTTGAATGCGATGACTGTGCAATTCAAACAATTTTTCTTCACCATTATTCAATCATTGCAATTAGGATATAATTGAGTTTTTTTGTTATTTTCCAAAATTTTCATAACATTTTACAGTTTTTTTTTTAGCTCCCTTGCCCAAAGGGCCAAGTGAGCTTTTCTCATCACTTGGCGTCCGTGGTCCGTCGTTGTCGTCGTTAACTTTTACAAAAATCATCTCTGAAACTACTGGGCCAAATTTAACCAAACTTGGCCACAATCATTATTGGGGTATTTAGTTTTAAAAATGTCCGATTACCCCGCCAGCCAGCCAAGATGGACGACATGGCTAAAAATAGAACATAGGGATAAAATGCAAGTTTTGTCTATTATTTTAAAAACTGTTATAAATAGAGAAAATCTGACAGGGGCAAAAACGTTCAGAATGTTGGGCTCTACCAATTGTTATTGTGTCAAAACTGTCAGACGACTTCTATAAATAGGAGTTATTTTTTTCTTCATTTTTACCTTTTATCTTAAAAACTATAGATAGAAACTTTAAAATGCAAAAATGATCAGCAAAACAAGTTCTACAAATAAGTCTACATGGTCGAAATCTTCAGTCGATTTTACCAATTTTTTGCGTTTTTGCCTTACAACTTAAAAATTGTAATAGATAGGTAGAAACTTTAATAAGCAAAAATGATCAGCAAGACAAGATCTACAATTAAAACATATGGAGGAATTCGTCTGACATCTCCTTATAGGAATTATTGCCCTTTAATAAAGATTTTAACCTTCTTTTTTTTTTGCTTTTTGCCTTATATGATAAAAATTATATTACATAGACACCTTGAATCACAAAAATGATCAGCAAGGCAATAATCAAATTTTGTCGCAACAGTTAGTAGT